GAAGGCTAATCCTTTTTTGAACAAATTCAAATTTGTCCTATTAGAAGGACGATTCGTAATTCAGCTGATTTTCCTGTGTTCACCCCTCTTTAGTAAAATTTATTCTTTGTAAAATAAAAAACCTCTCAAAACACATTTGAGCAACATGTGTAGCGGTTGTTCATTGTGAATGAATCCCCCTTGGCCCAAAATGTATGTGTTCTATCAGTTTATTCCAAGATGGGTTCTGGGAAATGCATGCTGACGTCATGCAAACACATAGGCAATTTTATCAGGTGCATGGAAGCTTTTTGAAGCCTCACCAAAGCTTCACCCTCACTTGTCTTTCCATGGCTGGGATGAGTGGCTTGGGTTTGACTTGCCCTGTGTGCCTTACACTAATCTCAGATCTGGGCTGAGATTTATCTCATGGTCTCACTCATCTCTTTCACTCTAGAGTTCTTATCCTGGGTCAAACACAGAATCTGAAATGAGGCATAATGTGGTTTGATCTTTCCCTGTGTGATTACAGGTTTTTTTTTTCTTTGAGGAGGAAGGTAGTGGCAAGGAGATGCAAGCTAGGTTTGCTCTGTGCAAGGTCGTTTTTTTTTTTCCCCACATTCCCTGAAGCAGAAGGAATCTGGAAGTTAGCGATGGTGTCAAAAGAACCCGAAATCTCAATGTTGGCTTAGTGGCTACCACCATGTGTTCTAATGTGAGTGTCACATTGGACAGGTGAGCTGGACAGGTGTGGAGGCTTCTGTTCCCAAGCTGGAAGTGTCCATGTGAACCCCAGGTTGAAAAGGCCAGCACATGAGGACCTTTAGCACTCTTGTTTCAGACACCTCCTTCCATGCTTGCCTGGAGCTTTTTTTTATAGTACATAAAACTGAAAACACTTTTTATTACTCTGGTAGTGAAAAACAGAAGTATGGATAATTCTACAGGAAGAGGTAGATACAAATGGGGATTTAAATTTGAATCACAAGTCGGAGTCACTTAGTTGGGAAGCCCTGTTACAATATAAAAGGAAAGGAACTAAACATTGTCCTGGAAGACCTTAAATAGGTAATATCCATTGTGTATAATTAAGAGAGGTGCATGACTCATGCTGTTAAACCTGCAGATGACTTTATCCATCACCTACACGCAGGCCTTCGAGGAAAAATAATCCAGGTAGAATATTAGGATTTTATGGCCAGCAAACAGTCATTGAATTCCTTTGCCAAATTAAAAAAAATGAAATAAAAATACTGTATGCATATTGCACACACAGTTTAATTTGGTTGTCTGCGCTACTTTTACAGTATAATGATTATTACCGTTGAAAAATGACAGATTGATATTTAAATGGATTGTCACTCAAGAAGGCTCCCTTGAGTTTCCTGCTAACCTTGCCTGTTACCTGCCCTGATATGCTAAACACGTTTATTAAGTGAATCAATAAATGAACTGTATTTAGCTGGGTAATTATTAAATCATGAGTGCAGATGTCATGGTGTATGTCTGCTAATTTCAGCTGCAGAACAGTGGGTGTTCCAGCTAAAATAAAAAGCAAATGCTGTGACTGCAGTACAAATACATTGGAGTTGCAAAAATGTGATCTTGGATCCCAGCTATGCGTTTATACAGTGCTTTTTTCGCCCCCCCAGTCTCGAGAGATTTCCTGTCAGTTCATCATTGAATAATTTAAATGGAAACTTCTTTTTGATGGGTGTAATGAAAAATGCAGCACTATAAAAAAGGTTGTGTTATGGAATAACATAGAGTGGTAAAGGGACATTTTAATTGGACTGTCATCCAAGTGTTTAATCAGAATTTGGGAGCCCCGTCTTTCACACAGTGGGCTTTTATTCATGTTTGTCAGTCTGCTGCTGTTCTGTGCTCTGTAGTTCCTATCTAAAGTCTATTCAGGTGCTTTTTTTATATGCTGGTGATCTTCATCTTTGCTTTCAGTTAAACCAAACATCACCCCGTGGTGAAACTTTGACACCTTGATGCCTGTTGAATGCTCCTAGGTTCTGTTTTTATGTTTGGTGTCCTTCCCGGTGTGCTTCATCTTGTCTGTGGGTATTGATGGTGTCCATGGTCTTGACTCGTGCTGGAATACTGTTTTTAATCTGTTGCTAATAAAAATGATTGCACTGAACCTTCACATGTGACTTCTGCCTGTGCCGTAGGTTCCTGCAGGCGTTTCCCACTGTGCAGTGTTAAAGTTTATACTGTCACCTTGTGCAGGGAGACCCACTGACATTTTTTTATTAGTTTGTCAAGTTCAAAGTTCCACAATATGCTTGCAGAAAGCTTTTTTGGTGGTAGTTACACATTTTCTGTTTTGCCATAGGCTTTACCTATATCTAAAGTAGTAACAAGGTTGCCAATATGTTTATTTAACAGCTAAGAAACAATGATCAGTTAATAAATTACTAGGCACAAGCAAGGTACAGATAAAACAAGAACAGGTATTGAAAGTAGACAACATCAGCACAGATGCTATTTGTTTTTTGTGTTATGGGAAGGGATTTATTTATATTTTATGGCATGTTTTTGACACATTGAACTCTGGGAAGAATCATGATTGGAGAGCTTTAAAGTGTCAACATGACAAATGTTTGATAATAATTAGCCAATGACATTGATTTTACCCTGATGTGTACACGATTGAAATTCATTCCAGCTCTTGGTGAGTGTACTGTGTTTCAGGAGTAGAAGTGGAATACTAAAGATTGCAATGCCAGCAGAAAAAAAACACAAGATATTATAAAATACATTGATAGTCAAGTTCTTGTAATCACTTTTAGTTCTGCACTGTGCCAGTTTTGCTAAATATTTCCTATTTAACATGCATGTAAACATGTTCAATTCATTTTAAATGTTATGTTTCTTGTAAATAAACAGCAGCCCTGTCTGTGTAAAATGGGATATTCAGATATGTCTGATTTCAGTCATGAGTCATCTGTCATCATCTGTCGACTGCAATAGCCAATATCAAATGTTTTCATTCCTTAGCCATGGTTTCCGGCAGTTGAAAAGCATAGTGCTGCTTGTCCAAACATACACTTTGTGTGAATACCAACAAGATGTACTCAAGAATACTGTTTTGTAATAATGCACCACAAGATCATTTGCTAGCCAGCAGCCACGATGATACATTATCGCATATCTCTCAAGTCTCACACATTGTGATCAAAAGTCATGGTTTCACAACTTGGTCTGAAAGTGTCCTGCATTTGAATCAGGTCTAGGGTGATTAAAAAATTAAGTAATGAACATGAAATCTTTGAAGTTGTAGTCTGTTTATATACATTAATAAAAAAACTATCAATACAAATAGTGTTTAATTTCAGTTTGCGATGGGAAATCTCATGCATTGATATTTTTTGAGAGCTTTGTTAGTAATTGATGTAGAAGAACATGCATCATTTCTAACTAATCATAAAGGGATAGGAAGTCACTTAATTTTCTAAGTGGGGAAAAAAAACACTTATAGCCTCAATGAGCACAACATAATAGTGCCTTAATAACAATAAGAACACAATGATGGCTTAATGCACACAGAAAATAGATAATAGCAATGTGTTCAAAGCACAAAGCTCTTCTTGGGCAGCATTATGGGTAGCCTGCATCCTCAGTGAGTCTTGTATAATCAAACGAGTTGTTGTGGTCAAATAACATATTGTTCATGACAATGTTGTTTAGTTACAATAATAAGATAGCTAGTCAGAGGACAAACTAGTACAGTAATCTAGTTGTCAGGTAGCTGCTGGTCTAACATTAATTGTCATGTGCCTGAGGTTGCCACCTGGTCTGAGCTTTTTCCTGTGGGAAACCCTCCTTGACTGATGTAGAAAAAAGCACATTTAAAGACCATCCTTTTTGTTGAAAACATGCACTGATATAATTTGTATGAGTGAAGTACTGAACCAACTCATATTAATATGTCTAATGATTTTGTCTAAATTTGTTTCATATTTCAGCAGCTGAGTTTATAGGAGCAATGTGATTGCAGTATCATGCTGAAGGATACAACTGCAGTGCCCCATTAGGGATTTGATAGACAATACGGTTGCAGGTCCAGAGCTCTAAGTAGTACTCCATGCTGCTAGAATGAACCCAGAAACAACTGTCAGACGTTTAAGGATACATTTACATTAAAGTGCTGATGTTTTATTAAAAGGGACAGCGACAATGAACCTGGTGGAAACAGCTAGTTGCAAGTATTCATATAGGCTAAGGCACTTTGGAATAGAAACCGTGCCCCATTAAGATATTAGTCTCACTTTTTGTCTATCGTTTCTTACTGATTCAATTGAAGCATGAAACACCACAGCCACCTCTGCCTGGAGCTGCGTTGAAAAAAGTAAGCAGAATTCCAGAGGGAGTAGGTATTACATTCCTAAAGCATGAGGAAGTAAACTTTGCCTTGATACCTGCTGTTCAGGAGTTTAACCGTTGCTGCTGCAGCAGGAAACAGAAAAATGTTGCGACTGTCATCTAAGGAAAATAAAGTCCTTAAGTCCGTATATGATCTGATGTCAGTTCTTTAAATATATTTTAAAGCACTGTGCCAGTAATAGGCTGTAGAGACCTTTTTTTCACCTTTAAATTCCGCTCCTTTTCTCCAAGGCTTCTACAGTGTTTTCTCAAAATGGCCCCTTTGTTAATTGCTTGGTGAAAGGGCTGATTAAGACCAAACAAAACCTTTCCCTTGCTGTGTAATCCTTGGCTGACACAGAGCCTAGCTAATCAACTCTCTTTTGCTGTTACAAATAAGCGTTCTTCTCACAAGGATTATTTGCACAGCTTACGTTTGATACAAATTAGTTTGACTTATGTAAATAGGGGTGCCGGGATAATGGCAAAACAATTAGTGATTGGGTTTGAACCTGGGGGGGCATGGCCTTGAGTGCAGTGCGTTCCAAACCTTTGGATGAAGCTGTACCCACCACAGCCTGGGGAGCTGATTGCCTTTTTCCTCATATCTGATATCACTTTACTCTTATTGCTTTTTTTCTCCCTAGCAATCTATAATTATGACGCCAGAGGAGGAGAAGAGCTGTCTTTACAAATTGGAGACACAGTACATATATTGGAAACTTATGAAGGTGAGTAGATAGAAGCTCAGTGCTGAGCTGATGATGGTGTGGGTAAGTTGTAACATTTACAATGTAATGAGAATTTTGCAAATAATTCTCGGGGTATTACTGTTTTTCATCTGAATGCGACTGAGACTCCAATATGCTGATATCTGTATTTGTTTCTTACTACAAATTCACAATGTTTAAATTCTGTTTTGTTAAACCCAGAAAAAGAATGCCCACCAGATTTACAGTATTTATACCCCCAATGCAAAGGAACAAAAGACATCATATAACAGAATGAGTTATTGATTGGATATTTCTTTCTTAAGGAAATTCTAAAAATAAAAGCTATACTGTAGTTGCAATAGAATTGCACTGTGTAAAGCCATTTGTCATAAGGGAATTCCAGAAAACTCAAGGGTCATATCTATCCACACCTCTAAATAATACTTTCAATACAATCCAACAAAAGCAAATCAACAAGAATATTCTGCTCTTTGGAAGTACCATGGAAGCAAAGGCCCCTGAAGGTTTCCTTTTTTCCCCACAGTATAAAAGGAGCTAACGCATGGAATACATTCAGCAATAGCATGCATCTCTATAGTGAAGGTCTATGGAACCTGTAAGCAAATGGTCAGCAGCCTCCAGTTGGGGCTAGACAATAAAAGAACGCATTAAAAGCTAAATGTACTTATTTCCACTATAGGATCTATCCATTTTTATTTTTTGGCTGGTGGTATAGGGGCAACCCAGTCAGGGAAAGGGCACATGTGTATCTTGCCTAAAAGGCCTGTGAAAGAAGTTCCAGGGGAATCTTTCAATCCAAAGGAAACACGTGGGGATCTCCAAACACAGTCATTTTTGGGACACACAGTCTTGAAAACTACCATTTTAATGTCACCTGATTGCAAGGAAGAAGCCTCTTCTGAGTGTGAACCACAAAAAGAAGCAACTCAGATTAATTGAAACATCTGAATGACCATTGGCCAGATGAAAGGAAAATTGACTTTTCTGGACATGCTCATTTGTGTTATGTTTTCTTTAAAAAATGGTGAAGCTTTATTGAGAAAACACCCATCCTCACAGTTACTGTGTTTTGGGTTGGTTTTGCCGCTGTGGGTCTTGGAGCCCTTCTTGAGGCAGAGGAATCTTGAACTCCCACATGTACCATAACATTTTGGACAACCTGGTTCCCTCTCTCAGGAAGGCCAAGCTTGGGGCCAGCAATGGACATTCCAGCACAATAATGATCCAAAACATGATTCTAAATTGACAAACGAATGTTCTTAATCTCAATCTGCAGACCTCAGTCCAATTGAACATCTGTAGTTTGAACTCAAGAAGACACTTCACAAATAGAAACCAAAGGGTCTGGCAGACTTTGAGCAATTCTGCCTGGAGGAATGCTCAATAATCCGTCCTCAGAAGTGTCCCAAATTCATCGCGTGGTACAGGAGGCATCTTGTTTATTGCGACATGCCAGAGTAATTCACTAAACACTACAGGGGTATAAATAAATGTGACCCTTGTGTTTTGAGGTCTTATGTTTATGTCAAATACTGTAGGACTGCCCTGTGCACTTCTGTGAAAATGTGTTGTAATGTCTTAAGATTTATTAAGGAAGCGCATTAACCGACCTGTATATATTTCTGTGATACCTTTTTATTCTTATTTGATCAAGAGTATGAATACATCTGGAGGGTTGATTCACTTATGTATTAGACACATCTTAGAATGAGTTGGCTCCAACTTTAATTATAATTTGCACTTATTAGTTTATCTAGCATGGGAATATAACAAAAAAAAAGTTGTGAACACAATTAAAGTGATGCTGGTAAAATTCCAGTCTGAAAGTTCTAAAGCCTGCAGGCTCTGTTAGGTAAAAAGAATGTTTTATTTTAAAAGCAAATGTATGCAAAATTTAGTTTTTTTCCTCTGAATGCCCATTTGAATTATGGGTTGTTTAATTAACAGAGACACATCTGTAGCTCTGCCTCTGTCCTAGCTGATTTCAGTAACTGTGTACCTATTAAATCTTAATTTTTTTCTGTTAGGCTGGTACAGAGGATACAGACTAAGAAGAAAGTCAACAAAGGTGAGTAGAATCTAGAGCAAAGGCATCTTACACATACATGGAAACAGAATCTATCTATACACCTGAAGAAGGCTCCACGGCCAACATTTTTGTGTTTTCTTTCTTCTCTTTTCAGCATGGAATAAACCTATTACTTGAATCTATCTGTAGCTTGTTTCATTATTAATCATCCCTACCTTTTGTCCAATTCAACAAGAAAAAAAAATGTCATCTTGGTGTTTAATGTACTGTTTGTAGTGTAATGCAATAGATTTTCCTTGCCATTAAATGTAAATTTAAATGTCAAATTAAAATGTTGTACTGTGTGTTTGTGTAATTTTACTGTCACAAGCATTAAATTAAAACAGTTCAGGTGGGTAGCTGCATCAGCATGCGTAGTCTGCAAAGGAACAAGTCATAGGTTTATTCCATGCTGAAAAGAGAAGAGAGAAAACACAATGTTTTGGCTGTGAAGCCAAATTAAAACAGCCATTTTAATGGTTAACAGCTGGGAACCTAATTTACAACTTTGTGGAAGATTTTAATTTGTTGTGGATATATTTTAATTTTTTGTGTTTCTATTGTAGGGTATATTTCCTGCATGCTACATACACCTTAAAGATGCTACAGTTGAAGGCAATGGGTTAGTTTTCAATGTACCTTACATAACTTGTTGGCCTGTCATGTTGTGTGCATTGGCAGAAGCACTATGAACTACAGTACTACAACTGCACAGCCCACTGTCAAAAGTGTTTGTGGAAATTGTATTTATGATGTCTGACATTTTGCATGCAAAGGGCTTTGTCTGCTTTGTACTATAAGAGTAACATGCTGATGGATGAGTAATTATGGTCCATGATGGAAACTCACATACTGTATTTGAAAAGGATTATTGCTCCCTGCATAAGGAATGCACATTGTGTCTTATTGGTATTGAAAAAAAAAAATTAAGGTGCAGTGTGGTTATACTTGAAGCAGTCTTGAAGGCTTTTAGTTAAGTTAGTGCCTTCAAGGCTTTTCCTGCTGCAAAGTTTTGTACAATGTAGTCTTCTCATGAAAGGGAAGAACATAACCGCCTGATTCAAAGGAATATCTGTCTTTTTTGGGAACTTTATAAAATGGTGTCTAAAATGGACAGGGTTAATTCAAAGGTTCTTGTCAGAAATATACAGTATCTACTAGTACATTGAGATTTTTAATGGAAATAGAAAATGTCTAATAATAAATAATAGGGAAAGAAAAGAATATCAGTGTTTTAGAGTACTTAGAGATGTTAAGGTGAAATGTCTATACATGGGAGATACGGTAAATTTTTTGTAGCTGACTATTTGGAGGTTATTGGTCAATAGATGAAGAGTGACAGCCTCTATGTTTCTTTCTTTCATGAATTTGAAATATTATGCTTTCGCACACAAAAAACTCAAAATGCTAAAGTTATTGTTTTGATTTCTGCCTTATTTTGAAATGGTTGCTAATCTTTGTAGGCAAAAAGAAACGGTCATCCCTAACGAGCTGCCTTTAGTTCAGGAAGTGACCACTACTCTGAGGGAATGGGCTTCCATATGGAGAGAGTTGTATGTGGTGGGTATTTAAACAGCATTGTTGCCATCCTTGTTTTTGTAATTTTTTAATCATAATGATTTATAATCCATTATAAATGTATCCAGAAGCTCACAAACATGCACATCCTTCTGCTTCTTCAGATAATGCAACATATTCGATTAATATTTTTCACTCTGTTTAAACATCTGCATTCTGTTGAAACTCTAATGAAACTTTAAGTGCTTATGTGTCTGGAGTTAAGCTGTCTCAGTAGTTATTGAGTATAATTTCATGTCTTGTTGTATTCTGTAATGCATACTACATGAAGTTTGGTTTGTATTTCCACAGGGAGACAAAAGAGAGATGTTCAACACTGTCCGAGACATGATATACGATCTCATAGAGTGGCGATCACAGATACTGTCTGGAACCCTCCCACAGGATGAACTGACAGAGCTGAAACAGAAAGTCACCTCTAAAATAGATTATGGTAACAAGTAAGTACTACTGTCAACTTCATATAGATTTGCGCTTTTAATATGCTTCATTTTTTAAAGGAGTTCTGGTATTCTGCCTCATGGGATCTTCTTCAAAGGGAGATAAAGAAACAGTCTGGAAATAGCAAAGGTAGTTTTAATCTGAGAGTCTGATAGTGTAGAATGTGCCAGTCTTATTGATAATTGTTTGGGAAAAAAAGCATTTTAGGAGTGTCCACAATTGGAAAAGGAAAAGTAGAAACTCATTAAAAGACAGAGCCAGTGCTGCACGGTTCTCCCTTCTGTTTTCATAACTCACAAATTTGGCGGAGAAAGCTGGTATACTCTTGTTACCCATAAATTAGGGCCGTGTGCTACCCTCCTTCTGATGGAGCTTCCCATTACGCCCATACCTAAAAGCCGCCCACAAGCATAGCATCTGACACCCCAACATTGTTAAGCAATTTTAACATTCTTCTACCTGCCTGTGGCTTCTGTGACTGGTACTACTGTCATCTAAAGACCTCTTTTAATTTGCAATAGTCTGTCACTTAATCCTAATTATCCTTGCAGTAAAACTAAGTGATGTCTCTTATGCCTGATTTCTTTAATTCTTTATGATACCTTGACAGTGACCAGTTTGGTGCTTATGAATAAAAGACAACAACAACAACAACAACAAAAAAACACATTTGTGCTACAGAGTAGTTATATTTTATTTTTAACATTTGAAGCTAAACAGTGAATAAGAATTTGCAGAATACAGCCATTCCCATTTGGGATGTTCCCTGAGGTTCCTTTTACTCAATTCAAGACATAAGAGTTTAGGTCTTTAAAAAAAAAAAATCATGTTATGAGTATCCTTCCTATGTGTTTCCTTATTTACAGGTCAATAGAATATGCTCATGCCAACATCTTGTTCATTTGTTGAAATTGTTTCTATTTCTTGATCAGATACCTGGATCTGGACCTTGTGGTGAGAGATAAAGATGGCAACATTCTAGATCCAGATCAGACAAGCACCATCAGCCTGTTCAGAGCTCACGAAGCTGCTTCCAAACAGATTGAACAGAGAATCCAGGAAGAAAAGGTATTTTTTTCATACGTAGTGTCCACCTTTAAAATTACAAGTGATTCTGAAGGTTTAATGGTCTGCAAAACAATACCTGTGAGGCGATTTAGGTGTTTTTTGTAAGTGCTGTAGCAGATTTGGTTTTGCAACATTGCGTTCCAAAAATAAAATGTAAACTTCTCATACTTTCCTGTTAAGAAAAACACTAGTCTTTTTAATCCCTTCCATCCATGAATGAGTGGGCAGTTTGAAAACTTTAATATAGTTAACCTGTCCTCATTGTTTCTTCTTGTGGGCAGTTGCTGTATTACTCTGGAAGAGACTCCTGCTGGTACAACTCTAGTATGGGATAATTGTTGTGTATTAGCATCTCATTTCTCTACAGTAGACACTCCAGATCTAGTTTTTTTTTCTTCCTGCTTGAGCTTGAGTCTTTGCCCTTGGCAGGTTGATGAAGCGTAGTTGTTTCTAGAGAGTGATGGATAATGAAGGGTACCCAGAAGCAGGGTTGGGGGCTGCGTACATTTTGTAGATGCAGGCTACTGTGGAACTTGAAGAGGATTTTATTCAAGGTGTCTGCTGCTCTGAAGAACAGCAGTGGTAAGAAGCCTGAAGTTAGTAGTTCTCTAAATCAGCTTATGTATGCAAATAGAGAATCATCCTAGTTGTGCTTAATAGGATTATAGGGTCTGAGACATAAATTATGTGCTCGTAGTTGCGGAGTAATTCTAGAAGCCTTACATTACATTACAGGAAGGAAATCTACTGCTTTCTAGGCCCGTCAGTTCTCAGGTCTTGTAATATCCATCTGTGCCTGCATGAATACGTCCATTTAGATAAATGTAATAAAAGCAATAAATGTAGAACTACATATTTCAGTAGGTGCAGTGATATTGAAGTACAATTATACAGCTGTCTCCCTGCCATTACATTTTTATTGGATCTCAAGAAATCAAAATTACAAAATAAAATGTACTTTTAGATGCATTATTTTGTTTTCAGACTTGCATATGTTCAGATGTGTTTGCCAAATATGGTTTTATATAGTCATGTTCCAGAAATGAACTGCAGTGTCTGTTGGCAAGGGCAAGTGGCATTTTTCAGCGCAATTATATTAAAAATTATGGAAGAGGGCTTGGGGCGAGGTGCGTTGTATATGGTGGAAAAACAAATTGGCAACACAATATCCTTTCAAGAAGAATTCCGAAGTGTTCACAGCTGAGCAAACCCTCTGTGCAGTTCCCTGTAGGACAGCCATGTCTGCAAATTATATAGAGGAAGTGTTGCTACATGCTAAACACCACCTGTAGCAATTCAGAACTTTATGTCCTTCTCATGAAACACTTCAGATTAAAATCACTGCGTGTCCGGGATTATCTCATAACCTTTAGCTACATAGTCTCATGTTGAGAGACCTAACAATGCTAAATTTTAACGTTTTTATCTTCACATTATACTGCATATACTGTATATATATATAGCAGCAGATCAGATGAAGTACTGTCCTGTGGATGAACTGGAGAAAATGGCATTAAATCTTGATTGATATGACTGGCTCTAGCTGCCCCGTTGTAAAATCTGTGAATGAACCAATCACATTTTCAGAGGTGAATGTTTTCGTCTTTTCCATTGCAGTCCCAGAAGCAAAATATTGATTTAAACAGACAAGCCAAATTTGCCTCAACTCCTTCCTTTGCCCTGTTTGTTACCCTGAAGAATGTGGTGTGCAAGATTGGTGAGGATGCTGAAGTTCTTATGTCCTTATATGACCCTGTGGAGTTCAGGTTCATCAGGTATGTTGTTTCTTTTCCCAATGGGATGCTCTCCTTATTAACAGTCTCTGCAGCTGTGGTTGTAATGATTGGTTTCATGGATGTCTTTCACAGATAAAGTATTATCTATATTGCTTAGCCTGTTTTTCTGTAGAGAATGTTTTTTTCCTTTACTGTGTACCCGTTAGATAATAAACACACATCGTAACCTATCCGTGCGTTTTATCTGGCCTCTCACAGGACAAGTGCAATATTCAAAATAAAAGTCAGATTGCATGCAATAAAATGTGTATGGATTTGGTCAAATCCAGTGAGGTTTAAGTTGTTCATTTTAGTGATCATAGAGATGCTAATTTGCTGTTTTTAATTTTCTTGTAGTGAAAACTATCTAGTGAGATGGTCAAGCTCAGGATTAGTAAAAGATATTGATCAGCTCCACAACCTGCGGTCTGTTTTCACAGTGAGTGTCTCTTTCTTTTCTATGTTGGAAAGAAACCTCAGATGCCATTCATGTCTTCCTGGGCTTGGCTATTTACATGCTGCCAGAGAAGTTAAAGGGAGGGTAATTTGGCTATGTCTGTTAAGAAGAGCTGTTCAGTTTTGGAGATGTAGAGCTTAAATTAAACCCCAGGGCTGTTTACTAAAGGTCATTCCTCGCTAATGGCTGCTAAGAGACCTGTAGGAGAGACGGGTTACATGATTGTTAGCAAGAGCCGAAGAGTCCCTGGTGGGAATCTCAGTAAGAAATGAACCATTGGTCAGAATTAAAGCTGGAGGTTTAAGCATTGTGTGTGCAAATTGCAGAAAATCATTACAAAAGTTGGCTTTTTCTGGAAATGCTCAATCAGAAATGTCAATCTTTTCAACTGTAGAAGGTGCATAGCTTAATAGGCAGCTCATGCTTGACAAGGAGCTAAAATCAGACACATTTTATTCCAAGGTGATGTCGACTTTTGCCCAGTAAATGGGAAGGTAAGCCGGGCTGTAGCCAATTACTTTAGAAGCACATCACTTTCGTAAAACATTCTTCGAGCCTCCAGGAGAGGAATCTGCAATTACCAGAGAATGCATGTTGTTCCAATTTGCAGTGAAGCAATGTGCAATTATATCTTTTATAATTATTGTGTTATTTTATTTTATGTATAGGATCTCGGAAGCAAGGACCTGAAGAGAGAGAGAATCAGCTTTGTTTGTCAGATAGTTAGGGTAGGACGCATGGAGCTGCGAGACAATAATACCAAAAAACTGACCTCTGGTCTCCGCAGGCCTTTTGGAGTAGCAGGTAATTTATTCGTTGTAACTATCCTGGCCCTTTACTCACACCCAGTGCAATAAATACTGTAAAAGCAATATTTAACTTTGTGGTCTACTTCTTATCTCATCCAAAGAATGAGATAAAACATCTTAGAAGATCAGCTGTTTACTCGTTGATATTTTAATTTTCAGTATGGGACTGGTTATTAATACTATAAATATACATCCTGTATACATACTATAAATGTATATGAAGTTTGAAATACAAACTTGTTCACTGTCCTGGAAAATGAAGTGTGCTGTCAGACAATGAGTTGATCACCTCCAGAGACTACCTCATTAATTCAGCAAAGGCAAGAATTGGGAAAAGAAACAGAAAATAAAATGTTAAAGCTAGGAAAATGAATAATTCAGATTGAATTATTCACAATTGTAAGGTAGAGGGAGAAGAATAGAGGGAATTTTCACTAAGATGTCCTCAAAGGATTTTCTTGAACTCATTGACCTAGTCCAGTGTTCTTGATGTTCTTGTTTAGAGTGACAGCCCTCTTTTGATTATTCTGCATACAATGGTTCTCATTCAGTTATATATTGTTTGCAACCAGTGTACAATTTGCAAAGGATCTAGATCTCTGGGTTTGGTCCATGAAGAAATGGCATGACCAGTAAATTATTTCAGCGGACTCATATTTTCTTCTTGGGCAGCAAAAAAGTGCTGATTAATACAGTGTGCTTGATGATTTGCTTCATAAACAGAAAAGACAAAAGCACACAATATCACTCCTTAGCCCTAGTGATTAGAACTGTGTGATAACTGCTGATATTGCAGAGGATAGATAGAAAGCTATCCAGAGGAAAAATGAAAAGAGACTGAGCCATCAGTATAAACATCAAACGTGTTTTTGAAGTCAGTTTTGGAGGCTGTTTTTTCTGTCTTTCTTATCCTCTACAGAGGCATCTATGTGGGTCAGGCATGGAGAACCAAGGAGTAATTCTTTTACCTTTGTCTCTACTGTACACTTTTTTTTTTGCAAATGCACAATTCCCTATGTCCGGTTGCTGGTCACCACCTTCTTGAATGTTGATGGAAAATACTGTTTTGTGATATAAAAAGGGCATCTAAGCATTTATGTTAATGAGTGGGCACTTCTGTGTGCTTTGTATTTCTGTGTTGTGTTGTAGTAATAAAAGAAAGGGAACAACTTCATTTTAGGTTGTTTGGGTCAGGGCGGGCACAGTGTATTAACTACAGCTTCCTGTGTTCCAGTAATGGATGTCACTGACATAATAACTGGCAAAGTGGATGATGAGGACAAGCAGCACTTCATTCCTTTCCAGCCGTAAGTATTTATGAGTGACAAGTAAAATAGCATTGGGAGTCAGAAAATCATTTGAAGAAATAAAACATTCTTTTGAGTTTAAATTGGAAACCCCATTACAGAAACATTGTGGAAATCCAGAAATATTTGTAATTAAAGTTTTGTTTTAGAAATTTGTGGTCTGGATATTGACAGGATGTTTATGTGGTTTGTTTTTACTGCTGTAGTCTTTAATAGGCTAAAATAGAAGTCAGCCTTAAGAATGCCCAAAACTGAGTGAGACAACACTGTATTTAACACACAATTACTCCTTAAATAGCTTAGCATGGATCCAATATTTGGTACTAAATTAAAACAGATTTAAATAAAAATGCAATTGTCTGGCCTCTCTTTAGCTCGGTTTACTGTACTTCACTTTTAAAAAAATGTGAATTCAATTTTATTCTATAAAGGCATACTGTGATTAAAGATATTCAATATTCATGAACTTTAGTTTGCTGATTATTCAGTTCTTTTTTTAAGTGATGTGCATATCTTGTGCAAATAATTGAGTCCTCTTCCTGAAGAATGTTATATTTCTGATAACCCCCGAAGATGTAGAAGATAAAGAGATCTGCAGTAGATGGGGTTTAAGAATAAGACAAATAGTTGTTTAATAAATTAATGTAAAAAATGTGCTTGTGGAGCGGACTTAATTGTAATTCATTTAATACTTACGGCAGAGATCCTTAAAGCTTTACAAATCACTGTAATTGCTATTTTGTATCTTAAAAATAGTCAAACCTGTATATAAATCTTAGGGGGAACCCTTTTTAAAGGGGTGTTTGCAATAATAACTTGTAAAATTCACTCTATGCTTGGCTAATGCTAATGCTAATGATTTGTTTTTATATGGAAATGTCTTTTTGATATGAGGTGCTGGCCCCCTCATGTCAGTAGTAATTGACGATCTCTGCAGTGTTGCCAACAGTCCTGTGTTCTTGGAAGTCTGGTCTGCTCTTTAAGATTGATATGATACTGTGTACTTTGAATAGCAAGATGTCTGTTAGGCAGCAGAAGGTACAGATTATAATTTGATTTAGTCAGGCTATTTTGTTGTCTCATAATTCAGTCCACTTCTTATTTGCTTGAATTTTGGAACAAAATCCCCAAAGATTATAAAGAACAATACTCTCCTCTTTTACCTTTACCTCATAACAATGTACTGTATCATTTGGGGCTGTACAAAAATGTGTAGTTAAATCTTAACTATAGAAGGCATGGAATTTATAATTTTCAGAATCTTCATAGTAGTTTTTGTGCTTTCAAGTGAAGTGTGCAATCCCCTTGAGTCCTGATTATTTTTTACAATAATGCTATACAAAGCATTATAAAGCATAACCTGCCACAGGTTCTTCTTTTCATTTCTTTGGAGTCTCACTGCCTATCCCATATAAATCAGAGTTCATTGCAGGTAGCATATCTTTAATCCTACCAGGCTGCATCATCTTTAGTTTATTTTTCTTTAGATGGTGATTAGAATCATTGATGTATTGCAAAACAAATACCTGCATACTGTTTTTTTGTCTTTCACAAACACTGCCACTGTGGCCCCATGTGTGTTTAGTATGAAGTGCATCTATTAAGCCATGCAGATTTTGTGCTGCCAGCAGTGAAGGAGGCCAGGCTGGGGGAGGGGATGTTCTCTCAGAGCTTGCTTCTCTTTTTAGTTTGGGGACCATGAAAGGAAACAAAACATTTTCTGGTTTTGCTTTTGTACTGCGAGAGCAGTGTCACAGTTTCCTAAATAATGGTCTTCCTGTGTGTCTCTCTTGTTACCCATCCTGTTTCTTTTGTCTCGCTTTTGGCTAACAATGGCTTTCTGTGTCATGATATTGGCATCAACGTTTGGTGTGTGTGTGTCCCTTCCCCACCCCTCATTTGCTGTACCCTTCCGGTGTTCTGTGCTCCCCTCTTTTTCCTTCTTCCTGTGGTGTTGCCCTCATGTGCATACTCCAGGCTAGCATTGGATGACGCCATTCGACACAAGCAGCTGAACATATCATCCCGTTTTTCACCCAGGGTGGCGGGAGAGAACGACTTCCTTCAGACAGTCATCAACAAAGTGATCGCTGCCAAAGAAGTAAATCACAAGGGCCAAGGTAGGGGTTTTGTTCTGGCTGGAGCACAGAATTAAAAAAAAAAATCCTTGTTTTCTGTGTTGTGAAGGCACATTTGTGGTTTAAAAGTCTAGCTAAGACTGTCCCATTTCCCCCAAGTAATCAAGAGCACTGAATTATATGGAGTGCTAGGAAGCCGCTGCTGGATAGAAATGTGTATATAGAAATGTATATTTAATTTAATTTAGATTGCACAACATGCTTAATATTTTAAATTTCCCCCTGATGGAGAGTACAAGATTGTACTTGCAAATGGGTTTCAAAAAGTTGGAAAACACATTCTTATAGAAACAGGTTAGTTTTGTGATAGCCCACAGAAGCTTATTTAACCTTTCAGGTAGCTAAAATACTGTGCATTTGCAAGAAAGAATAGTAGATGATTCCATATTTTATTTTATGGCGGATGGCAATGGCACTGGTGTAGAACTCTTCACATTCTAAAATTCTGGCCTTACACTGTCATTGTGTGACAGCAAGTGTGCATCAATTTAGCAAAGGCATTTCCTTTTTAAGTAAAATAAAAGAAGTGGGTTTTGTTTAAAAACTTAACTCTCAACTTCATAAAGTTATCCCTTGAATTTTTTTTTTACCCCTTTGTTTTTTTTTTTTACATCTAATATGCAAAAGCCGGCCAGAATGCCTGAGTATAACAGGCGTCCTTTTTTAGAAACCATTTTAGGTTAAATTTAGTCTTAAGCTGTACTTTCCAAGTACAATCTTAAGCTGCTTTAAAGGAAGGGGTTTCGCCATTTGTAATTGGTTTGTACAAGTGGAGATGCCTTGATTTTAATTTGTGGTGGATACAGTAAGTCTGCTAATTTGAAATGAAAGCAGAGGGTAGGAAAGGATTTTACCAGTAGCTTTTCAAAGGCCAGCAGTGGTCATGCAGTGAACTGAGCTGGACAGTATTTTTTATACCAATCCAGATTGTGTTCAGTGTTTTACACACCGCAGTCCGCACCTCATGATTTCTGTTCCTTGAGGCCTCATTAAAGGAAAGGTCAGCTCCAGCACAATCATAGGACATGAAATTCCTTAACTGTGAAGATGAATTAACAGACCTCCAAGAGAAATTCCCTTTGTGATCTTTCATTTCAGGATTAGGTTTATCAATGACTTGAATTGATTTCTTCCTACCCTCACTGAGATTTCTTACCCTTCAAAGACTGCATTAGTTTTTGTGCCATCTCATTGTTTTAACTGTAGGTTTGCATTTTTTATAATTATTTTAAATGCAGTTTTGCTGACTATATATGAATCTTTATTGCTGTAAAATGTGTGCATTCCTCATTTTTGCTAATGAGAGATTTTTGCCCTTTTTGTATCGCAGTATGATGGTAGGGGATAAGACGGTATGTGGTATTTAGACTACAAGTGTAATCATGTATTTTAAACAGAAGTACAGAATATCTGAGCAAGAGTATGCTAAAATTCAAGCAGTAAAATTGTTGCAATATACAGTAACAGTTTTCTTAAGGAACAGTCGTGTATTTGAGAAGTAGTTACTGTCAACTGGAGCTTTCCTTGTTATGGATTGTCATTTTAATATGCCTGCTTTAAATCTTGGAGCAGTTCATCTCTGTGTATAATGATCATTATTTGTCAAAAGTCACAAAATTGTACCCATGTTCAGGGGGTATAGCACAGATTCATGTATGTGTCTGCTCACTGAAACATGATAGATACATGGATATACAATGAAATAATGTTAGCACAGTGGTCTGTCTGAAGTATTAATGTTGCATTTACTGTAAATTGTGAAATTATACTTGTTAAAAGGGCCTATATTCCACCAATCAAACAACTTCCTCTTTTTGATATATTCATTAAATATAAAAATTTAAATTAATTTATTTGAGTGCTAAAATTGTACGTATGAAAATATAGGGAGTCTTAAAATTAAGTTGTAAATTTGGGAATTCTGCTTTGTGTGTTTGTAACATTGTTTATTGCCTTTTCAGGTCTGTGGGTGACATTGAAACTGCTTCCTGGAGATATACATCAGATCCGTAAAGACTTCCCGCATCTCGTTGATCGATCTACGGCTGTGGCACGAAAAATGGGATTTCCTGAGATTATAATGCCTGGTAGGTTATGATTTGTTAAACTGTGGCACTTTAAGGTTTTTGCAAATAGATGAGAGTGTCAATAGGCATAGATGACAAAGAAATGACTTACTGCACTTAGTATTCAGAGTTCCTGAACCTCAGACCCCAGTTTGAGTTGTCTTAAGTGTCCCCTGGATGGATTGCGTTTTCTCATGTAGAGTCAGCAAATTCTTTTAATTGCCTTGACCTTTTCTCTTGACATTGTGGCTGTAATGGATGTTATTTCTCCCTTACTTCTTCTGAGTAATTTCTGAAACGCAGTCTGTCATAAAGAGGCTTAAGCTTTTAATTCTGTTTTTTAATTCTGTTACGTGCTGTAATCCAATCAGAGCACTTCTTCCACCAGCTCTTGTAAGGCGTAAGGCGTAAGGCAAGCACATTTGTCATATATTCATTATGTTATCCCAGCAATCCCTGGTAAGGTAATGAAATGCGTTCTGGCAGTAACTTTGGTAGCTTTAGGAAAAACAGATTTTTTACAGAACGCTCAGTGGCCTAACCCTGTGGTCTTTTTCTTCTTCCCCCTAAGGTGATGTTAGGAATGACATCTATGTAACACTGGCCCAGGGGGATTTTGATAAAGGAAGCAAGACGACACCTAAAAATGTAGAAGTAACCATGTCAGTATATGACGAAGATGGCAAGAGACTGGAGGTACTGAGATTCTTTACCCTTATTTCCCTATTTTTATTTGATCTTTCTGTGAAGTTCTACAGTTTCCAACATTGATAATCATAGTACAGCAGTGTTTCTCCAAATTCCTCTGATGCCACTTGAGTTGCAGTGCCTGAGGCAGTCACTCTTGTCTTTTTGGTCCTTTGATTCTTGACAATCAAGGTCAGAGCTTCAAGCTTTAATAAACATATTGGTTATGTTGTCAACACAGCCCACACATTTGCATTTTGTTTATTGTTAAATGCAAGAAGTCTGGAGCAGTAGATATATTTAAAATAGAGTTTTATATATGTTTTAAATATGTATTTAAAATACAGTTAGCGTTTGTGTTGGTTTGAATAGGCTAAAATAGAGAGATGCAAATTAATACTGAATTTTTGTTTGATTTTCTGCTTTTAAATACATGACCTGTATTTGGTAGGTACAGTACATGACCTGCCGGTGAGAGGGATAGGTGAACCCTCATGACATCAGTTTCCATTTTGCACACCAATTACTTATCTGTGGCTCGAAGAGCATGGGTTTGTTGGCTGTGTGAAAAATCTTTTAGAGAAGGAGAAGACAGCTGAGAAGACAGAATCTGGTCTAGCGTGTTTCTCTGATAACGTTTGTTTATTTTTCTTGGTTTTTGGTTTTGTCTGGTTTATTGTTTGGGAAAGGATTGGGTTGCAGATTGATGTATTGACTCTGTTACCCCGGGGGGGGGAGGTTAATAGCAAAGGCCTTGAAATACATCAGTTTGTATCTGCTTGTACATGTATTAAGGAACTGTGTACTTCTCCCAATTACGTCATGGAGGATCTAACAGTTGGAGAATGGTTGTTTGTAGTGAAGTAACAAAAAAGTGAAACACTGAATAATCTTTTTGTCATTCACATGTTTGAGTTTAAACTTAAATTGTAAGGCTTTGGATCTTTTTAAGAGTTGCCCTACTATCCTTTCTATTGGAGTCTTAGCTCTTATGTGCAGGAGCTCTTTTCTCCAGGAATAGGAATTCTACTGTTACAGTATAACATAGAAGCTCAGACCTTTGCAGATTTAGTTGGTAACAAGACTCAGCCTTCTGTCTTCTACTGTACGTTTTTCCTAGAACCATCTTATGAATTATTTCAGTTATTTAAAAGTCATTTCAGTTCAGTCATTAATTAGCTAATTTAATTCAAAGTCCTGTTCTGCAACTTACTGGAAGATCCAGCTTTTGAAAGCCCTTACCTTGAATTAATCTGGTGTGAGTTAAATGGGTACAGCCTTTTTATACAGGAATTGTGAGTGCAATTGCATACTTAATTCTAGTTAATTCTATCTCCAGTCCATTAGTTAATTATGAGGCTCCTTTTTCAGCCATATACATCATCTCTTTGTCCGCATCTGTGTTGTACTGATCTCAAAAATAATAAATCCTTGGCCTGGTGCAATGACCCCTCTCTTGGTCTTAATTGCTTGTTGTTATGATGAGAGTCTAATGTTAAATTGCTACATTATCTCCTTCATGAGATGAATACCACTGGGACTTATACAGAAGGGGCCCTCAGAAGTAGATATTTCAGTTAGTTGTTGGGTACTATATTGAAGCCATATTTTTTTTCTGACCGTTCTTACTGTCTGTACGGTGTATTTGTAATTCACAAATGTGGGAACAGGTCATAGGGATTTTGTTCCAATGTGCACTTTTTTTTGTTACTGAGTGTGTCTTCCACTACAAAAAAGCATTTCTTTATAACCTTATCTTTATCCATTTTTATCTGTTGTAACGTCTGGTAATCAGGTCTAAGAAATCTGTTGATTGAAAATGAACAGACACAAGTTTTTGTGTGATATTGCCAAGGCGAAATACTAAAGCTGTTAGTTTTCATTAGACATTTAATACAAGAAGCACTTCCACCTCTCGTTCTTGGCATGGGGCCACACTGGCATACGTCTTGTTCATGATGAATAATGGCAGATAAGCAAGAGGAAGCAGAGTGTTCCCATCACTTTAACACAAGGAAGCACTTCTGCTGGTACCTGAAGCCATCATCTAGTGGGAGCACACCGAATCGGCCTGCTTCTTGTCATGTAGTGCGCCACTAGGCATCTTTCTTGATGAGGGAATCGTTTGCCTTGGCATTAGAAGCCTCTTCCTCCCAGCTTTGCAAAAATCTCGGCTTGTCATTTTTCATAATTGCAAGATGTCAAAAGCCATTAGTGTGGACCTCTGCCACTTTCCCTAATAAGAGTGAGTCATAAGGAAGGGAATGAATCTGTCTGCTTGAGAATAATTCATCCATGTTGGAGCTGCATGAGTCGTTTACCTCAGAGGTTCTGATCTGCTGCAGGGGTTGGGAGGGAAAACCTAATTGCTTGCATGGGCGCCATACCATAAAAGTTTAGTGCTGATTCTGTATGACAAATGTCACAGACCTCGATTGTGTAAAGGGCATGTAAAGCTGCATGAAAAAAGTACAATCAGACCCACCTGTCATTTCTTGGTCAGCCTTAGATTGAGTGTCAAGTGCCAGTGTGCTTACCCTAGTGCTAATAATCTCATACAACCACTCTGCACCAATTAGACTTCTAAAATCTGTCTTTTTGAAGTGTTCTTGTGCCTTTTGTATTAAATGCTATTATGAATGTTTAAAAAATACAGTAAAACTTCCCAACCACAGACTAAGACATGAGGTAATTTCTAGTCCAGTCCTTGAAAGATATGGTATTTAGTGAGAGATGCAGCATAATGTTGAGGATGTAAGATGGAGCAGAGAGAGGGAAAGTGGCAAACTCCAGCAGAATGATACATGGGTACTGCAAAGTCTCTCTTTAATGGCATTGTTTTTTAATCTTGCAGATCTTTAGAATATTTAGTTTTTTGCATGATGTGATGTTCATCTGATTCACACATTTCTCTCTTTTTTTTCCCCTCCCTTTATCAAGAATGTAATTTTTCCTGGAGCTGGGGATGATGGGATCTCTGAGTACAAGTCGGTGATATACTATCAGGTCAAACAGCCCCGTTGGTTCGAAACTGTAAAGGTTAGTCTCCCATGTGTGTGAATTTCACAGCGGCTCTATTCTTAATGTAAATCTTTTTCATGCTTTAACATATTTAAAGTTGTGCATCCTGTAATAAAGCTTTTGTAGCAAAATGTTTAGTTCAGTTGTTTTATGCAAGATATTAGGGATATATCCTGAGGAATTAAAAATATTGCACACGATTATTAAGAGCTCAGCTTGTGTATGCGATTTAAAACGCACTTTGTGTTCATACAGCTGGTTGTATGAGGTGGCCTTTTTGAGAATCCTTCCCAAAGTCCTGAGCCTGTTTGCCAAGCAAAAAGAATGTGGGTTCAGGCATTTCATGTCATTATTAAACATGCAGAAATAAGTGTGACTTCACTAGTGTTTAAATAAACCTAAATGTTTAGCTTCCTGTTTTTCTTTAAAATATCTGAGGAGATTAGGGACATCCTGTCAGATCATGCTTAACAAAGCTGAATTATCTGAAAAAATATTTGGATAAAAATTGCTTTTCTGTTGCCATGCAGTTTTGCTTTAGGAATGAAGTCCGAGTGAGAGTTTTTATAATGCTTGTACAAATGGTCCTTTTCCGAGTCCTGTTCATTAGTTGTCCTTGTGTAGTAGTCAGTGATTAGCCTGATGCTCACTGTACGTTCAGCACACCTCTCGCCATGCTATCTAGTAACAAGCATCACACCTGTACGATCTTAACCTACTGTAACCATCTGTTAGGAGATCACTTGTTCTGTCAAAACATGCAGCTTTTTCTCAAGCAGTGATTCTCGAGCAGTATCGCCCTTCTGTATAACCTGCTGTTGATTAGATATTTAAAGTTGTGTTCGCCGCCGTGAGTTTTTCTATTTGAATTCTGAGGTTATTTTTGATTTTGTCGGCGATTTCTGAGATCTTCTTGATCGTGTGCTGGTGTTTAAAGGAGAAATTAATATCATGTTGCTGATCGTGTTCTGCATTTTGTGTTTTCAGGTTGCTATTCCTATTGAGGACGTGAATCGCAGCCACTTGCGCTTTACTTTTCGGCACCGATCATCCCAAGATTGTGAGTCAAAAGGGGGGCAATGAGCAATGAGTGTATTTTGTATCAGCAATTAATATAGACTGAGACTGTGGGAATAACCATGGAACAAAAGATGTATCCGAACAACCCACCCAGCTGTGAATGTTATGTTAGTGAGGTGTCCAGCAGTGGCACTTTACCGTTCTTTGGAATAAAGAACATTTCAGCCTTCATGGCGGGAAATGAAATTGCTCCATGTTTTTTTCCCCATAATGTAGGTGTATAGCAGTGAGTACACCAAGTTCTCCACAGCCTTGAGGAATTGTCGAACATGGAATTAATGATTTGTGCAATGGGAATTAGTCTTGCTGCTGGTGGTAGTAAGTGCATTTGTTTTGTATAGTGTGCAGGGAACCCTATCCTGGCAGACACAGCCTTCCATCTGCCAGCCACATGGCAGTGCGGAGCAGCCAAAAGGAGCAGAGCGCAGTCTTCATATGCAAACCTATCAATTTAAATGGAAAGGCATGCTGGTTGAGGTATCAGTAAAACACACAGTGGTTTATGAAAGATATCCCACTTGCACAATCAGGCCATTTCACTTACCGGCTGCTGTTTACTAATGTCAACTGATTTCTGCTTGCTTTATTTATTTTTCATACCCACTGTGGATTCTGGTGTGTTATTAGTTTTTAATAGTTGGGGTTGAAGGATGTCATTAATCTACCTGAAGAATTTCGTGCCATGCAAGAGTCACTGGTTTACTATTTTTCATCTAAAGTAATGGTAAAAGCTTCATTTGCTGAATCCACAAAATGTGAGGGTATGTGAGCTTGAGAAGTAATGGTTTGTTAAAGTGTCTACTTCTAGCCATTCTTCAGTTTGCATGTCGGATGGCAGTGATGTAGAAGCAGTTTTGATTTTTTCCCATTCCTGTAAATTGAGGGACTGGTGTGACCGTGACTCAATTTGAACTTTTTTTTTTAAATCTTGGCTAAATACATTTTGGAATCACAAATTGTTAATTAGCTTGGCTGCCCTTGTACTAACAAACCTCAGCATTGCCCTGCTAGTCACAGATATTCCTGTCGCAAGGCAGTTTGAGGATACTCTTGTAGCATACGGAGAAGCGGACTCCCTCTATTACTATGTGACTGAACCGGAATGCTATAGCAAATGCCATTACGGGTTTATGTGAATGGGAGTATCCCCTGTGTTAGAATAAGAGTCCATAAAATAAAAAAAAATATTTTGGTATATCTCTCTAGAAGACTTTCTGTGTCGTAGTAATAACAGTACCACAAACAAAACACCAAGACCTCAGCTGAAGGTCAGTTTATATATAGTTCATGATCGATTGTCTGAATTTTACCAGTTTTGATTGAAAGTTGATGTAGCTTTTAGGAAAGTCACTAAGAAAAGAAGTTAAGGCACCAGATGAGGCAGAAGATTGGAAGTGGCCACAACAATGATGGAGACTTTTACAAAGATTCTGGCCTTAATGAGCTGCTATTGTGATGTAAAATGCCTAGTATCTGCTCTGGTTCATTATATGGTAATCTGTTTAGAAGTCAGTGAATGGTTTTAGGCTTCTACCACCAGTTGGCTTTCAGTCCTGTGTGCAGCATGGCTTAATCACTGTCAGAATTAGGCACCAAGTTAATGGAGAGTTTGAGTGTTTAGAGCACTCAAGCCTCCCTCAGATGAATTGCATTTTTCCTGTAAATTTGAACACCTTGATCCCCAGCTGCATTCACGTTTGAATGACTTCCCCGTTCACTAACTTATTGAATCCTCAGTTGGGTTAAGAAACTACATGCTCCTCATCAAAAGGCCAAATTCTAATTGACCTAATCCACTGGAATACTGTAAATATATTTGGTTAATTGTAAAATTTCCTAATTTATGGGGAACGTATTCATTATCTGTTTTGAACAACACCTTTGTGCCAATTATACTCTGTAATCCATCAACTGGAAGGTGATCTAGCAGTGCAGGAGCTCTGGGGAGGTGTGAAATAAACTGGTCAACTGAAACATTCAAGGTACAGGCAGTGTTCTGTGTCATTGAATGCAATAATGAGATGAGATGTGAAAATGCTATCTCCAGCAAACCTGTTCTGTGTGTGAAAATGTTCCATGGCAGAGGACGTGCTTCCTCTGTGTGAATGCGATGCAGCACAAAATGTTTTTTTTGTGTTGTTGTTGCACAAGTAAAATTGAAACAATACAGGCAAAATGTGTTAAAGCTCAAAACAGTAGAGTGTCCTAAAGTTTCCTGAACTCTGTGATGTTGGTGCTTTTTTGTCTACTAAATTGAACACAAAATTGTTTTTAAGATGCATCAAACCATGCCCAGTTATGCACACAATCAATGTGCCCAATGAAGGTATCGTACGTTCCATATGTGGCACTGGAGTTTTAAAAACTGGCATGTCTCGAGTGGCATTATTTCTGGATATGAACTTACCAGACTTGGCTGTAAGGCTTTCCTAATGGTTTATTCTGAAGTTATGCTAATACTTGATGATACAGCAAGGTACTTATTTTTACATCCTTTCTCCTTTTATATTTTCTCCTTAGCCAAAGACAAATCGGAGAAGATATTTGCTTTGTCGTTTGTAAAGCTGATGAGGTATGATGGAACGACGCTACGAGATGGGGAGCACGATCTCATAGTGTACAAGGTATTCTCTCCAGCGCTACTTGGTCTTCTGCAGTGCTCTGTACTAGCTGCCTTACAAATCGGGTCTCCAAGTTGAAATTAATTTGGGACAGATTGGGGACCTCTTTCTTGAGTTTCAGAGGATGTTTGAAGTTAATTCAATTTATTAAAAATCAAAGGTATTAGTGGAAATTAAAGAGAATGGCAATTAAAACTAAGAACAGAAGACAGTTCTTTATGCAAAAAGTTGTGAGAGTATAAAATAAGCAACCTACCCATGTTATTAAAGCCAATTCTCTGTCTGTTTTCAAGTAACAGATGGATGAGATTCTTTGATCAGTCATCTAACTACCAAACAGGATACCAGGAACAAATTGCCTCCTCTTGTTTGTAACCTTTATTATCTTAAATATTCCAGTACAGAATATTTTAAAAAATGTGATTTCTTTAATCTACATTGTTTTTCAATTTTCAGTAGCACCTTGTCTCTGTATTTTTTCTCTCTCTTTAAACAAAGTATCAAGATGAAAAGAAAACTTTGCTGTAACGCTTTAAGTACCAGAAGATAGGCATATCAAATAATTTTTCTTTGTTTGCTTGAAGTGAAACAAGAGCTTTAATTTGCAAGTCTCATGAAGTGGGAGAACTACAGTATATGCAATCGTGTGGTATCTTTTTTGTTTTTGTCTATGACGCACAACAGGCAGAAGCAAAGAAATTGGAAGACTCGTCAGTGTACTTAAACCTCCCTGCCACCAAGTTAGAACTGGAAGAGAAAGGCTATTCAGCTACAGGAAAGAGTCTTCAGGGCCTGGGAAGCTGCACAATAAGCAAGGACTCTTTTCAAATCTCTACCCTGGTCTGCTCCACCAAGCTTACTCAGAATGGTAAGGCCACCACAGTCACTCTTATTTATATATATATATCCAGTAAGTTATATATATAGTCGTGTTGTTCTCAATCAGTTAATTTCAGACAGTTGGGAACAGGGAATACTGCTTACTGCCATCCACTTCATACAGTGTTTTATTTCCTGTAGCAGAAAGAACTGTGGTTATTAGGCTAAGGAAAACCCATTTGAAGCCATGTTTCTGCTGAAGGCTTTTAGATAAAGAAGTCTGACCTTTGTGCCTTTCTTATTTGGAGAATCCCTTTGGAGTCTGGTAGCCTTTTTCAATTTATAAAACCATTTTCTTTTCTTTTTCTAGCTTATGTATGGAGGTGAATGTAGTTGCTCAAAATGTAAAGAATCCAAACATTTTCATATCATGACTTCTTTTTATTCTCTTATTAAGAAAATATACAGTACATACTGTACTGGCATTGTACACATTGTACTTTTTGTGTAGTCCTATCTATTATGATCTCATGCTACAGTACATTCTATTATCTGTGGATAAGCTTTGAAAAAGTCACAACATACTGAGTCGCTCAGAGAGCCATTTTTTGTGGTTTCCATATGTTTTGGGGCACTTCCTTGACAAGCCTATTGTATAAACCTATTTTGAACTACTTTGCTCACAGTACAGTATGTTCATGATCTTCCATTTAAACTTAAGATAAAGTATTTTGTTTATGGGTGATAACTAATCTTTTGTATTGCTGACTTGGGTACTTTTTTAACTAAAATGGCATAAAGAAGAGCATTTATTCCTTTTTAGGTATAATCCTGGTTTAGAGTTATCCAGAGTGTTAATCTCTGTAAAAGAGGAGATTTAAAAAAAAAAATCTCACCTGGGAACAGTCATAATAATACAACCCACATACTGTATGAGCAAATAGACAGCATTAGTGGAATGTAGTACCTTATCTGCAGCCAGCATTTCTGAATCACGGGTATCTTTTCTTCTATCGTAATACCTTGGGAGGATGAAGATTGCTGAGTCAGATGCACTGTACAGCAGGTTAGTTTTCTTTCGGATCAGGATTTATGCTTGTACTTTTAACTGAGATCTCTGCTGTCATTGAACATCTTCCTTTGCCTTCCCAAGGTGATGTGTGTTACAAGAAAGTTACAGTATGGAAAACTTGGAGGGAAGCCATTGGGCTGTTTTTTTTATCATTCTGAGATTAGAGACATTACTGTTTTGGTTTGTTTACCTTTTTGCCATAACTCACATGGTGACCTGTGTATAAAACAAATCGGCAAGTTTAGAAAGAAAAAAATAGAAATCTCAGAAAAGGATCATTCATACCATTTTGCATATCCAGTTGCATGGAAAGTTTAATTATTTCAGTTTCTCAATTTTCTCCCATTTTTATGTATCACTTGCCTTTGCTCTATACATGATGTATAACGTAGCTACTAAAATGTCTGTTAATGAGGTCACCAAGGATTATAAACTGTGGTTTGAAAGCTTTGTGTCTGTGAAAGCATAGCATATTTATAGATGGCAGTGTTAACTGCCTTCTTGCCTGATTTAATCTCATCTTCAAAGCTTTATAAGGCTGGGCCTGGTTAGTACTGGCAGAGGAAAACACTGCTGCTGTAAGAGGTGTTGGTGGACCAATAGGTGACACTTTCTTCTCTAGGTCAGATATTACAAAGCAATCACTCCATAATAGTCCCTGGGAGCACAGTATTGAGGGAGATGCCATTCTTTGGATGAGATATTAAATCAAGATCTTGACTAGTTGGTCTTTTGAGATGGTGGGTTACTGTTCAAAAGAGCAGGGGTGTTAGTTAAATTCTACTGTTGCAAAACAGTTTTTGGAAGCAGTTCCTTGTTTCAGCGGGGCTGCTGATGCGTGATGGCTGCCACGCGTGTACAGGTAGGCGATTGCTGCAGCACAGTGGTGGGTGGAGCGGATCCTCTTCTCTATATGAAATACCTGGAATTCTTTAGGATTAAAAGTGCTGTACAAATGCAAGGAATTATTATTGCAAGCATCAAACTAATGTTGCAACCATGTTTATTAAATTGGTACAATCTGTACAAAGCCAGTATTTTTGCTGAATGTATCAAAATAATGTTTACCTTTGATTTAATTTCTCAGGCAAGGTTTTCACAAACGTCTGACAATGTCTATTTCAGTACTAAAGGACGTTTTCACTTTAACAACACAAGAGTGCCCTGTGACTCAGATGTACCAGTCCCTTTAGGATTGTTTGCTTAAATGATTTAAGAAAAGAGCAAGATAACCTGTACTTAAAAAGAAGGTGAACACCATGAATACAAATATAACATTTGGCACACAGTGGATGTTTTCCAGAAAGGCTTCACTTTGTTTTTGCTTGAATAATTTGTTCATACTGTAGTTGGCATATTTAGCTCAGCGAACAACAATGCATGAGTAAAATGGAAATTTTCTACATTTTCTGTTTAATAGGTATTTGAAAATTAATTCAGAAAGGTGAAGAAAAAAAAACAAAATTGCTCCATATCTTCTTTTTTAACTTGGCATTAAATATCCTTGAAAGATTAACAATTGTATTTTTCTGAACCTTATGTGGCTCTGTCCCATTGTGTGCAAGACCTGACATTTATACTGCACTTTGCAGCAGTAATTTGTGAGCTGACAGGCGATTGTCACAAGCTCGCCTAGTCTCATCTCTACATAGAACGTTGATTAAACAGAAGGGGACCTTTCGTCTTCTGGTGAGTCTCCTGGAAAGATTAGTTTTCTTTTAATAAAGACTGACAGTATACATCCATCTCTGAAAACATAAGACGCCCTGGGCCTCATTAAAAAATGTACGTCCCTTCATACAGTAATTGTTTTCTTGAGGTGCCGTTAATCACTTCCTGAAGACATGTACACATCCTTCAGGGTTAAAGTGTGCTATAATAGATAGCTGGAAAGACTTCATTTTTCCCTTTATTTGTGTCTGCTGATCCTTTGCCTCTTGTTTGCAACCAAATGTCATTTTTTTAACATTTTAAAACCTTGTTATTTGTTCACTATGTGAGCTTTTCCTGTGCTTTTGATCTACCCAGTCAATAACAGCAACTGTAAGTAGCATTCTGTGGTTAAGGTGAAAGATTTGAATGTTTGTATGACTCTTGAGTATTGTCTAGAGTGAATTAATGATATCACTGTAAAAGTGATGAAGCACACATTTCAGTTTTGAAATGTGTTTTTATAAAATACATTTTTCTTACATTCAGCCTGAAGACCACACGTGTGTGTATATATACACGTTTAAATATACACAACAACAAGCAGCTGTGTCTTCACTCTGTAAGCCAGTGGTTTTGTATTTTTTTTAGTTTTGTTTTTTGTGTAAATGCGGAACAGTAAAGTTATTAAAATAGTGTGAAAGTTATACAGTTATTAAAGACTTGAGAAAATGTTAAAATATTGAAGTTTTTTCAATATTGCAGGTACCACAGTGCCAAACACCTCTGTGTTATTAGAGATTTTTGGACAATGGCTATCCTATGGGTTTTGTAGATTTAGCTGAATCATATTTTTCTTCTAGTAAGGGAGTGTATATGACTTGGGTGGAAAATCTATTTTTTGTGCACTGTTCTTTATGAAGATAACACTGTGTATTCTGAACGTAGTGTCTATTCAGAGCCAGTAGTAGGTTTGAAATTTTCAGGAGAATTGTCTACACGTGGTGATATAGGTACTACTCTCTTAGTGGTTAAATGTCTGAAGCCTTGTGGTATTGTTCTGTATTTAATGAGGGAGAGGGGTAACTTGAAGAAAGTTTAAAATGTACATTTTTTCCCCATTTCTCCTAATATGTTTCAGTATTGAAATAATTTTAAAGAAATGCCGAGGAACAAGGCTTTTGGTTAATCTTTGTAGTATGTATCTTAAGATGCTTACCCCCTTGGTAATTGATTGAATGACATATACTCAACATTAATCTGGGATAAAGACTCTGACTTGCAGGTTAGCTTGATGTTTATTCCATCCACAAAAGATAAGTATTTATATTCTTAGCTGATAGAAAATGTGGGAAGAATCTAAATATCTAGCTAACATTGAGTTGTGATATATTTGATTCAGCTTCAATCTGTTATTCAAGGTTAGCTTTGTGTTCTAGTTTTGGAGCTTGTCCAAGTTTTAACTGTACTAACTTGCTGTGTTAAAATTCAAGCTGAGACAATAACCCAGTCACAGTTTCCACTATTAATGTATCACAATTTCAGGTGTGCTTTCATTTTCAAAGTAAGCTTGAGGAAAGGAGGGAATCAATCACACATAAAAAAATAATTTAGCACCTAAGAATGGTGAAATATGGATTCAAAATATTTTTTATACTGTATCTGCAGACCTCATTTTACATCTTGATGTGGATGGAGGATGATGGGTGAACAGTATAGTGAAAATGATTGAAATGTAAATAATCAGATGGAAGAACAGAGAGTGGACTCATTAGAGATAAATTAATATGTATTGGCATTTTCTGCTTTTGCTCCCAAACAACTCACTTAAAATGGAGCTCCCTTTTTGTACAGTGCACGATATTGTTCTTGAAGACTTGTCATCTCCGATTTGCATTGCTTTCCCTGACTTAATGTTGTTAGAAACCTAAATTTATAAGGAAAACAGTGGGAAATGATGATAGACTTCGAACTGTAGATGTATTCCTGTATTTCAATGGTAACTAAATGTATTTTCAAGAAAAAAAAGCACAAAGCTATTAATAAAAAATGTGTGCACATTGAACAGTAATTTCCAACACTGAATAAATGTTTTAAAATTTAATGGTTTCTGCATGGTATCTTTTCTCACAGCCTGTTTAAAGTTCTAAGTCAATATAACTTAGCCTTTTGTTATGATACTAGGGGATTATTTAGAAAGGAGATACTTTATTTTACTATATCACCTGAAACATATCTTGATTTTAATATTTTAATGATGTGAAATTATCATGTCGGCTGCAGAACAAGATGTTCTCTGACTTGTCTTCAGTAGAAAGCAGTTTTGGTAGGTCATGCTGCATGGCTTCATCTGGGAGATCTTTGAAGGATTGTTATAATTGGAGAAACAGTCAGGGAAAGTTTACTGTAAGCACAAATTGCAAATCTTTTTCAGATTGGATCTTCTCATCTGCTCTTCATGAACTCTGCTTTTCTCTTCCAAATTGTCCCAATTTACAGTCACTGATGACTAATTTATATTATACATTATATATCTAAATAAGAACATGGTATAGTTTAATAAAAGTCTAAAAAAAAACTTCTAAGTGGCACATCACAGGAGTGATGACAGAAGTTGGATAATTGGCTGTCACTGTTGCAGTAGATGGACATTCATCATTGTGTCTTGATCACGGATTATCTCTCAAGAAAACAACACAGTAAAGTCAGAAGTTATATATAAGCCCCTCTGGGAAATGTCACATTTTCACACGTCACAGACCACATTTCATCTCTGACCCATTTCTAAGTATTGTGGTATCTGAAGCAAATGCAGATATAATGAAAGTTGCTCCGCAAGCATGGTTTTTCAGCAGAACTTAGTTTGTTGCTTTGAATATCTGTAAGACTGCAAAAAACAGTGTTGGGGACTGAGTGTGTTACAGTGCATATTTGCTCAAGTGAAATCAGAATAACGTTCCTTATGTTACTTAAATACCTTATTTCTGCATAGAGCTAGCTGTGATGTCAAGTGAAGTAAAGCTGTCACCTAACTAAACCTTTTCTCCTCTGAACACAAAGCCAGCTCCATCTGATTGAAAGCTAAGCAGCGTTCTAGATCTGTGTAGGTGGGGGTCTTCATATCAAATATAATTTTTTCAGATTGGTTATTTCTAAAACTTCTAGGTAAAACAGGTCATATAGTGTGTGAGGTGAACAGAGCACAGTGAGGGAAGCACTGAGTAAATCAGAGATGAAGAGTTGCCCGTGGGTTAGAACTGCTGCTGTGTTGTGCATGAGTGCCTTCCGACAACACCCAGAGCATCCCAGCATTATTTAACCCTGAAAAGCTCTTATTACCACTCTTTCATCTACAATAAGGGAACTTGGCAGCAAATTGCAATTTACATCTTCATTCCCTCTCCACTGGTGTTTTGCGGACATTAGCAGATTCTCAGCCTTGGTTGGTTATAGCTGTATTTTGTTAATGTTGTGTTTTTTCCCCTATGTGCTCTGTTGTAGTGGACCTCCTGGGGCTGCTGAAATGGCGCTCCAACACAAGCTTGCTGCAGCAGAACCTGAGACAGCTGATGAAGGTGGATGGGGGAGAAGTTGTGAAGGTAAAGCCTGAATGACTTCCAGTTCATCATTCATAGGGAGGCAATGTAAAAGGCAAACAGGATGCTATACAGTACTCTCCACATTTAATTGTAACCCTGGTGAAAAAGTAACAAGAAACAAGGAACGTTTTTGGATTATATAGCATGTTCTACAAAAATCTCTTAAATTAATCTTAATAGCATTGCACATAGAACAATAATATTTTTGCAATTACTTAAATTTTAGAACAAACGAGGGTCACATTTATTCACATCCCTGTGGTTAATGTTTTCTAAACGCTCCTCTGGTGGGGATAACACTGACAAAGTACCTCCTGTGAGACCAAAGAGGTTGTGACACTTCTGAGGTGGGATTTTACTTCGGCAACCCTTTGACTGAGATGGCCAGTCAGAACATTTATTTTGTGTCTAGATCACCACTTCTTTATTGATTTGTAGGTATGCTTTGGATCATTGTCATGGTGAAATGTCCATTTTCATCTAGGGTTGATCTTCTTGGTAGAGAGCACCAGGTGTTGGCCTAAAATGTCCTGTTGTACCGTACGTCCTTGTACTACATTTAATGCATAAAACAACCAGTAGTAGCTTGCATCATCATGGTCAAAGTCAGGGAGTTTATGACCATTTCATTTTCAGTGAAAACCTACAATATTGAAAATAGAGAAGGAAGAATTATATTGTCTTCCAGTACTAAACACATCAAGCACATACAGTTTTTTTATAAAAACAATTTTACGTTTGCATCAAAATCTAGTTATTCTATTTGTTAAACTTTGCATAATTTAATCAAAATCTAACTTTGTGATGAGCTCACCCTTGATAATGTTACTGTATAGTTTCATGAGTATGCATAGGGTAAGATATAAATCTTCTATTTGGCAAACTTAATATTATTCATTAAAGAAAATGCAATAGATAATTACTATTTCCCCACAATTACTCAGTGATTTATTTTTATATTGTAAAATGTAACTTTATTATGAGTTTGTGATAAGAAGTGACAGTTACAGGGTTTTTGTTTTGGCAGTTTAAGCAGAAGGAAAGTTTTAATGGTGGATTATATTTGAAGAGCTGGGGCTGTGACAGAAATAATAATTGTCTTTTTCCTGTTCAGCATTAAAATACTATTCAAAGAAAAGCCACAGAGAGAACCTGTATCTGTGGAGTGATTGGACAGAAGGATAAAAGGCAGAACATATTGTGTATAGAGTGTTTTTATGACTCCCTAATCGTACAAAGCATTAAAAGCTCCAGAAATTGTGGCATAGTGCACTGACTCCTAAGTATAATGTAAAGCTAGTATCCTCCACTTGATACTTTTTGGTGCCCGAGGAGCACAATTTAAACGAGTGATGTGTATAGCACAGTGGACCATGTGTTAGAAGTCTAAGCTCACAGGCACATTTCTCTTAAATGCTGAATAAAGATGTCCAGCTTCTGGTTCTCACTGGGAGATTGATAAATCAAAATGAGGAAATTGCTTCATTCAGCAAAAAAAACCTGAGGATTTAGGATGGGGCACTGTTATTTTTTGGGTGCACCACCAAACTGGACACTGTACAATGGCTACATCTCTGTGGGTACTGGGGTCTAATACAGATGGTGTTGAATCTGTGGTTCCCCTGTGAGCGAGGACCCTGTTCCTCCATTTGAAATGCTTTTGCTGTTTGCACTATTGAATTGCCAGCGTGGTTAGAAGCAGGCAACCTGTAGAAGCGTGGCTAAGTGTGTGGCTAAGTCAAGTCATGTGCAGGAGGTAATAGCCATACTGCATCGTAAACTGTTAATGAAAATACACCACACATTTCAGTAATTGAGTCTTTGAAAGCTTTAGTTTATTATTGATTGCCATTCTATATGCTGTCCTCCCAAGTTTTGTAACCAGTCATCACAGTTCATAAAGGCAAATACGCTGATCTGTCAAGAAATTAGTGTAAATGCAACTCCTTTCAGTGTCTGTAAGCCAGAAGAGCAATGAAAAGGGGAAACAAATCAGCATTGGCTCACAACTTTGCTTGCTAATGATGTTTTATTTTTCTTCAATTTATTTTGGGATAAGTGTGTTGTCTGTGTGGGAGCCTTCTTTCTTCTGTATCATCATCATCATTATCGTCTCTGCTGCAAGCATTAGAGAGAGAAATGCGTGGGGACCAATGTGTTGGAGATGATGTGTACCTCATAATTGACTGAGACTTCTTTTTTGTTCCTCTAAGTATTTTGTTTTCCACTTTTTGGTAGGCAAGCACCTAAGAAAAATGACAGAAACTATCGTTGGGCACATAACAGGGAATGTTATTTTACGGAGGCAGTGTTTACCAAAAACTGTTGCATTTTCTGTGATGAGTATCTTTCTGAGCCTCAAAGCGATGGAGGCTTAATGATTTCATTAGAAAATCCACAGATTACGTTAGCTAAAGACTGAACTGTGTCCAAAGCGCTGTATCACAAACACAGTTAATTACTCCTGCAGCCATTGCTCTGTACAACTAGCCATGCCCCACACTGGAGGTAGAGAATGTTGACTTAAAATGTACATTATGGTTGCAGGCGATAGATATGCTGTGTGCAAAATGTAAGGGTTAATTGCTGCAGAGTTCTGTGGGGTTTGAAATCCAATCCAGTCCTCTTGAATTTTGACTTGACCTTCTAAAGGGGGTCTGTGTGTAAATCAGACACATGTCTCTCAGCTATAATTTATCGCACAAGTTGTTAGAATTTGTACTTCTTGATAGCAGTGCTCTGTGTCATGTTGTCACCCCCCTGCTGAGCTTTCTGTTCTTGATTAAAAAGCATCATGCACTGGGGACCCACTCCCATCCAGGAAAGCCTAATTTAGTGCAGGTTTGTACACGTGAAATGGCTGTTTAGTGACAGTATGCAGTATTAAATGCTGCTTGGAATTAAAATATTTAGGTGAACAGTGTATCTTTTGTCTTTTTTGCAAAAATGGGTGACTGGTAGCGTGGTTTTCTGATGCATCGTACAGTATATGAGGCAGCAGTATAGAACAATAGTTAGGCCTCTGGGCTCGTAACGGGAAGCTTGTCATTTCAAATCCCAGGTGGGACGCTGCACTACAGTACTTCACTAAGATTGCTTCAGTAGATTGCTCAGCTGTATAAATAGGAACAAGTGTAAGTCACTTTCGATAAAACAATCAGCCCAATAAAATCATAAAATGAGTAATACGGTAAATGAACTTTAAATGTGAACTATACACTTTAACATTTTGTTGTGCCTTTCTTTTATACAGTAAGTCAGTTTGGAACCAGTACTGTATGTCATAAATCACTGCAGGTACCCTGAAACTTAATATATTAATCTATATATTACAGAAGCTATTAACTCATATTTCCTGGATTCTAGATTCTCTTGCCTAGTGTTGTACACTTTACTATACTCAGTTTAATGGTTTAAGTTCATTATTTGAGAACAAAATAGGATTTAAGTAGTTATCTACTTTCTGCACTTTCTGAAAATGAAGGCAAATTACATTTTTTGTACAAAACATTTTTCTTTATTCACATTATTAGTTTGCATGAAAGAAGATACTTGATCTGAATTTCCATACCTTGTGCAATAGCACTTTATAGAGTTCTTTTTTTCAATTCCTAGAAAACAAGACAAAAACTGATTTAGTTCTTATTTCACCTCTGCAACTTATAAACCTATTGAATTTGTTTCAGGTTTTGTATTGTTCTTTTGCTGGCCTGACCTTTTTATTACTTGCAAGACTTCGACATACACCTCCCCCATTTTTCTAATGTCAGTCTTCTGCAGTACTGCACTGTATGATGAGTCAAAGAACAGCATTCCAGCATACTTTGTCTCGGGTGAACGTGGTGAATCTTGTCTGCTGATGAAGAAATCTTTAGTGTGCCTTGCCTGTAATTTGTCACAATAAATTTAACATCTGTAGGCTGCATTAGTCCTGACTTGTCTCACATAAGAAAGTTGTTTTGTAGAGTTACTTTCCTGCCATTTAAGACATTCCATAAATACCTGGGAGACTCCTGAAGGATTTGTTAGTAATGGCACTGAGCCAATGAAAGAAACTGTGGATGTACCACATAGGCTGTAGCATTTGACACGTGGACCCCCCTTGTCAGTAACTGTAACATGTAAATTTTAGTCTTAAGCTTGATATATTTTCCCTTTTTTATGTTTGCCTTTCACCAGATAAGCAGATGCCCTTATATGGGCCTGTTTGATATGAAGGATTTGTTTTGGGAAAAGGTAACAATAACATAACTTTTGTTGCTAAATGGCTAAATAGCTAATATGTCTACATTTAAAAATACATTGAGTACATTTTTTTGCAATCTAGAGAATGCTTGAGAACAAACTTCTGGGTCATTCAGTATGGTGTGTTTACAAAAATTGCATTACTGTGGCGTTCAAAACGAAAATGTGCTAAAAGGCTGATTGTTCTCTGAGGTCAGGTTTTTGTTTTAAAATGACAACGTAGTATAAAAATGGAGCCAGATAATGTACTGTGGAATGACAAGAGTATAAAAATAAGCATAATTATATTCAGATATATTCTAATTATAAATGCAGACTTTGTCCAAATGTCACCAGCAAAATATTCCATTCAATGTTAGCTGTTACAAATTTCTTGAAGGAAACTAGATTATATTTAATCATCAAAGCCTCTTATTTGTTTGCAACAGTTTAAAACTATTATGTAATGAAAATAATGTATCATTTCAGTTCCTGCAGGACACGCTGGATGCACTCTTCAATATCATGATGGAGAATTCCGATATCGACACTTACGACACACTTGTTTTTGATGCTTTGGTAAGAGCGCTCTTTCATCTACCAGCATGGGCAAGTCGCAGCTCCTGAATTCCATTGAGCACATGAACCTTGAGTCTGAGGTCTTTTTTTGTTCACGTACAAAGAGGATTCTTATTGACAGCAGGCAACAAACTTTTTTTCAGGTGAAGCTTAAGCATATTGTGTTGCTTCTTTTTTAGAAGGCCTGAAACAAGTATTGTGTACATATCTAGGCCATTTCATTTGCCATTTACTTTATATGCCGGTTACTTTGTATAGTATACCATGAATAGCAGTGCCAACCACTATGGCATAGCCAATCACACCTTTACTTTTCATCTCGGTGACAAACCCTGTAGTCATGTAAGGGAAATAAGGCAGGCTCCCTTGACCCATCAACCTGTTGAACCAATCACCTTTTGTCATGCTAACAGCTCTGATGTGGAGCTAATGGAGGGTTCACTCGAGTACTATACTAGAGGTTCAGCACCAACTGGAAAAGAGACTGGTCTCTCACTGGGTGTATTATCTTCGAGCTCAACTTCATTAACTTCGAGCTCACAAACCTCTGGCCTACTAACTGATCCCAGCACTACGCTGGAAGTGCTGAGCCCGGTGTGCACTGTCGTTTGGGAAATCCTGGTTGCAGATGGCCAGTGACATGACCCGCGTCTGAGCTCATGATATGTGGATCCTTTGGCTCCACCTGATTTTGGATTGTACACTTCTACCTGTTGAGCTCTGGACCCATCTCATTAACATTTTATTTAAAAAAGAGCTGTTCAAACTACTGCTTCTTCCCTTATAGTTATAGTACAGTGAGAAAAAAAGTGCTTTATTTATGGTTAAATGTCTTATGATCCTGACTTAACTGTCCTTATTGCCAAACATAACCTTTTTTTTTTTGTCTGTTAGGATTAAAAACTGAAATGCTTTACTTTCCTTGATTAACAACCATTTAAACTATTGAAATTGTACTCAACATATTTAAACATTCTTTGTTGTGGCCATTTTAATGTTTTGCTCTTATTTCTTATTTTTTGCCACTATAGTATTTGTGCCATTAAATGTCAACAAGAGGTGATAGGTTTTATATTGGACAGTTTAGAACAATACTGTTAAACGATACCAATTCCACAGGTGCTGTGATACAACATATGCTCATAACTGGCAACTGCATTTTGATTGATGGAAACTACTTTTACTTAAACTAACGCAGGTTGCTATAGCAATTGCGCTATTTATAAACAGGATCCAGATTGTCTGGGTGACTAGCATGTTCATGAGTTTGATTGTGGAACTGTAATGTCAGGAGATTAAGAAATAAGCTTATACTGACAAGGAGAAATATGATCTGTGATAAGGTGGACTGCAAAAATCAAGTGTTCCTGTCAGTCCATGAAAAGCACATACTGTAGTACTTCTGTACTACCCAACCGGTAATGTTAATCGTGTGCCTAGAAAAAAATATCAGTACTTGGAGAATTTTAGATATACCTTATCAATTTTTGATACTTTTTGAAGCATTTTAAAGCATCAGAAAAAAGAACCTCACAAAATAAGTGTCCTAAAGTTTGCTTTTAAAATCACCATCACCCCACCCTGTTCAGGCCTTGTCTAACCTACAATTTACCTCTTGCTGCTTGAGATCATAATTGTTCCTTTCAGTCTTTTCTTACATGTCCATCAAACTCATATAGCTTTATTATAAAAATATATAGGTTTTGTTCAGTCAACTGTGTACTCTGTTTCAGCTGGACTTCCTTGATCTATCAAAATCTTTTTTTAACAAAGAGGCTTCAAATACAGCTGGGTGTGTTATCAAAATAATGCACCACATTATTTTTTTATTTTGTTAATAAAATAAATGTGATTTTAAAGCCATTTTAATGGCATCATTGTCAACCACCCTATTTTCTCACTTTGAGTTTGTAATATTATATCATTTTCTTCTGACTGAATGGATAGCAAATTTCAATATTTAAGGGGGATTTGACAAATCAGTGAAACTGTTTCATTAGTGCTGCTTCAGATATGTGGAAAAATGACTTTCTAAACAGTTTTGTGCGATTTATCTGCCTTGCACTTCTGTGACTTTAGTTGTTGGAATATGATACAAAATCTAGTGGTAGTGGCAGATTACCTTGGGATGTAAAGTAAGTCCTGCATCTCTTTAATTTATTGTTGCTTTTTCCCATTCTGTATGAAAACACTTAAATCACATATACTAATATGAGCTCTAAAGCCCTTCTTCTTGGGGCAGTTCTAAAAATATCCTTTTGGGGCCAGATGGACAGTTGGTCTCCCCCTCATTCTGAGAGTTTGTGCTTGCTGTCTTTACTCCTGCAATATTACCATTACAAGGGAGGTTACAGTGCCCACTTTCCCCAGCAGCTCTTATGAATTGAAATTGTGCTGTTTTGTGAGGCTCTTTAACTGTGTCATAAAAATGGTAATTTTAGGAGTCTTTATCACAAGATGTATCGGTTATGGTTTAATGAACACATCTTGCTTTCTTTGACAGGTATTCATAATTGGGCTCATTGCTGACAGAAAATTCCAGCACTTCAACCCTGTCCTTGAAACCTACATTCGAAAGCATTTTAGTGCAACTCTAGCTTACACGTAAGTGGGTTTGATATATGTTTTATCACAGTTATTTCAATTGGTTAATCCTTATCAAGGAAATTATTAGTCAAAGATATGATATTATATGCATAATTCATGTTTTATAATGATTAACTGCAAAGCAGGTTACAATTTCTGAGTAATGCCTAAACACAACATTTTTTTGTTACATTTTGTTTCATTGTGAAAGTCATGTGAGGAAGATGATGTTCACTGTTAATGATCCATCTGAATATTTTGTCTGTGCTTTTTATTTGAATGCTTCTGCAGTGGCATTACGGAAGATATTTTGCAGAGCTGTGTGTTGAAAGTGCAGCCAGCAATCATAACAAAGCTGTGTTTGAAGCTCCTCCCTGTCACCCAGTGTCCTTTGCCAGCCTCCTGAATTCACTACTCCTAGCACTGACAGTACTTTAGAAACATGGGGGGAAGTAGAGAATAAAAAGGCTAATGTGTCCCAATGTTGATTTATCATTACCAGTCTGTATAATGTTTCCAGTGTCATTAGTAGTTTTCAGATTTTACTCAGAAGTTTCATAAAACTAAATACCACTGACAACACCTGGAAACACCCACAGTTTAATCTGTACTGCATGTCAGTATTCTCGTTGATGTACCTGTAAACAAAATCAATGCATAGATAAATAATAAAAGGGGCTTTTTTTTTGCTTCTTTGATGTACAGATTCGCTTAAATCTGTTGTTTGACCGATTTCTGGTTTGCAATACTGGTTGTGATACTGCAATACAATATTGGAAATATTGGTGTATCTCCTTTTACAGTATTCGAGCCATACGGTAGGTCCCAGAAAAATGTAGGCTGAGTTTTCGCCACTGGAGGTGGTATTTTTTTTAGAGACAGATGATAGATTGCACCCAATAAAGCAGGTATCTAAAGAATGCATTGTGTGAGTTGTGGACAAACAGCAATGCACAAGCAAAGAACTATATAAAGCATGATGAGCCAGATACGATTGTTTCTGTGATTGTAATTCTTTTAGTTGTTTTTTTTTTCTCAGATCATAAGATTGATAGGTAGAAACTAATATTAGATTATTTTTTAGGATATCAACATCATGAATTAGCGCCTTTTGACTGGGAAACGCATACAAAAAGCATTTGGATCTTTTTAGATCTGCTTTGGCCTTTTCAGTATATTTATTACTGCTGATTCCTCAGCAGGTCTTTCAAGCGTAGATGTTGGGGAAAACTAGTGTGCCACATAGTGTCCATGAATGGCAGTGACACATGTTAAGAAAGAAATCCCGATACAAATGCATTAACTGTCTGTGTAGTGGCCTGGTCAGATGTAATTGCTTTTTAAGTTTACCTTTACTGCTGTAGTCTTAAATAGAAGTAATCCCAAGAAATGAATAATGTGGCAAGTTCATATGATGCAGATCTGTTTCTGTTATAATTGCTTCTGTTGGAGTGCCAGTTGAAATGCCAGAGTTGGTGCTGTTTCAGTTTTTATCGGTTGCTTTGAGGCATTTTTGGTGCTGAGAAACTGATGCATGATTTTACTAAAATACTGGAAACGTACTTCAATCATTATTTTTATAGCTTAGCTAGACCTTAATGAAGTGCTTCCCCACCTTGAGTAAATGTTAACATTCTCTCAGCTCATCTCAAAAATAATTATTTCATGGATTAAAACAAAGATCACAGGCTAACAGCCTGTACCTGAAGTGAAAATTCAATGTTTTTTTGTGGGGAAAAAAGGAATGACTACTTCATAGCAACATTTTAGCATTTTAGCAGGCATCTTGGAAAATGAATGTATCATGCGGACACATGCGATCAGGTTGATGCTGCTAGTTCATATAACTGAGATTGCTCTGTATAAGTGCATTCAAAGTCAATGGAAACCCTTTTAATGTCTGGTTGCAACAAAACCTAGAGGGAGATGGGGCGGATCCCCTGGAGTTCACTGCATCACTGGCTGCTGAGCTTCCAGTGGGAACATGATTGGCAAAAGGGAAACTAGAGGTCAGAGAAAATAAATTGGCTTAATTACTACATCCTCTGGAAAGTTCACAAAAACGCTGAGCAAGATAGCTGCCCTGTTGGGATACTGAACAAAGGAGTTCAGTTTAGTTAGAGCTCTGACATGAGCTTGGATTTGTTTTTCAAATTTCTGTTTTCTCTATTTGGCTCATCTCTCTTAATTTATTTCATACCGTAATGAAGTGAATCTCATAAATCACTTAGTTCTAATGTTTAGAAACAGCTAAAAGTTATTAAGCAATCCATTGTTTTTCAATTAAGAATACTTTTATTTATTGAAGGCTGAAGGGTACCAAGATGTTGGTCTCAAATAATCTCTGAATTATTCACCACCTTAATTGATTTGATTTAAATTGTCAAAGCTTTTAGAAATTGGTAGCTATAATGATTGCCTATAAGCCCTTCTGGTTTGTGATTCTCTAGGACCAGGTTTGGAGACCCCTGATATACCCAATCACAATAATGAGCTTAAAATTAATTTCAAGCATTTGTGCTTTGGTTAATTCATCTGACTTTCTGTAATAATTTCAGGTGACTTCACCTTTCACTCTGTTATCTTCATAATAGATTCATAATTCAAAATAGATTTTGTGGTATGTGGAAAAGAAAGTCCATATAATACAGTAGGTTTGTTCTGAAAATTGCTTTTGGTATCATTAGTACTAATCAGTTAGATTGATAATTATGTGCAACAAAGTAATGTAATGAGGATAATTCTACAAGATGTGTAGATTTCTGCAATATGCTGCTTTTGCCAGGTCTGTTTTCTTATTCTTTAAAGCAGTTTAATGCTGGTTCTTGACACTGTAGATTCTCATCTGGAATACTGAATGACAATGAAACAGCTTAAAGTGCTGTGGTTCTTTTTAATGTTTTTGAGGGTGAAGGACAGTCTTCACCGTTAGGCTGTGCTGGTAGAGGTTTGTCAGCTTTCTACAGAAATCCTCAAGGCTAATGTGAACCCCCCCTGGTGTTTGGTCTGAATTGCCTCTTGTTTTGTAGGCACTCAGTTAACATTTTATCTTTATTTTCTACATGGAGACTGACCCATAAATATTTGCTCAGATATAATTTGGCATACCTGAAATGTTCAGTATAAAATGCATCAGTAAAGTATTTCTTCCCCCCTGAAAGCCTAGTTTTGATGGTTTCCTTTCTTTCTAGTTTCTCTCAACTTGATGCTGCTCTGCTGTAGCTAATTGGTACTGCATATGAACTCCACCACTTCCTTATTAGATCTCATTCCTACCGGTTTGTTTCTATCCTCTTTTTCTGCCCTTTGCCCTGTTGTCCTATACATAATAAATGAGTCCTTGAGCACTGGAGTGGTATCAATGGCTGCCATTACCCTGTGCATAAAAAACAAATATGGGCTCTGTACAACCTAATAATGTTTTCCCTATATCCCATCCTACCTTTTCTAGCTAAAATTTTAGAATGTTCTGTTGTTGTTCAATTAAATAATCATCTCACAGCAAATAAATTCTTTGAGCCTTCCAAACTGGTTTCACACAATTACATAGCACAGAAACTGCTCTGGTTAAAGTCTTTAACGATCTTCTTATGGCTTTTGATTCCCGTTCTCTACCTTTCCTTATTCTTCTAGACCTCAGTGCTGTTTTTGGCACTGTTAACCAGGACATCTTGCTTTCTCGTCTTGTGACTGAATTTGGGGTTTCCGACACTGCTCTTAAATGGTTCAACTTTCACCTTAATGATCACCAACGTTTTGTCTCTCTTGGGGATTTAAGTTCTGAAGTTGAACTCCTTAAGTCTGGTGTTCCTCGGCTCTCAGTACTGGGCTCCCTACTATTCTGCATTTACATGTTCCCGCTTGGCCTGTTATTAAAATTACATGGTCTGAATTATTATGATGCTACTGATACTCAAATCAATGTCCATACTAAATATGACACTGATATGCCTTAGTTGCACCCCTGACATAAAAATGGCCCCTTTCGTCCAGACCTTAACCCAATTGAGATGCTGTGGCAAGACCTGAAGAGAGCTGTTCATGCAAGGAATCCCAGAAATATCAATGAACTGAAACAGTTTTGTAAGGAGGAATGGTCTAAAATTCCTACTCCTACGCATTCTGCAAGTCTAATCAGCAGCTACAGGAAATGTTTGGTGGAGGTTATTGCTGCCAAAGGAGGTTCTACCAGTAAATAAATACAAGGGTTCACATCCTTTTTCCAGCCTGGACTGTGAATGTTTAAACAATATGTAAAATATTGACAAGCACAATTGTTTGTGTGTTATTAGTTTAAGCAGGTTGTGTTTGTCTATTTTTGCGACTTAGTTGAAGATAAGACCATATTGTTATGAGGAATTAATGCAGACATCCAGGTAATTCCAAAGGGTTCACAAACTTTTTCTTGCAACTTTATGTAAAGCCAGTGCAGCAAACCTATCTGTGGGTGGCACTGTACTTGACTTTCAGTCTAAATTGAAAGTCATTCTTCCATCTTGCCAGACTATGTCCTGTGTTGTCTCTGACTGTAACATACTTCAATCTGTCCAGAATTCGGCAACCAGAATCCTGACCAGGTGACGTGCAAATAATGACATTACTCCTGTCCTTGCACTTGCTTCCCATCAGGTTTTGTGTCCACTTCATGGCTTCGTACCTCTGTACCTGTCTGGTTAATTATCTTTCTACAGTACCTCTGTTTGTCTGACTCGGATGGCCTGATCGTCCCCCAAGCCCAGGGCCTTCCCTTGCTATGCACCAAAGCTCTGCAATTCTATGCCCAAGGATATCAGAGTCACCTTCCCTGAGTGCTTTCAAATCCAGGCTCAAAACCATCTCCTTCATAAAGGCTTTTAATTGATGTCTGCGCTCCTTTGCATCTTCTACTGCATTCTAATGCCTTGTTTTTAATTGTTCTAATTTTCTTATTCTAAAGTCCTTGGAGAACCTACTTTTAAAGGCACTATATAAAAAAGGTTATTATTGTTTTTTTTATTATCAACCTCTAAACTAGGGAGTAGAGTTTTCTAAGAGTCTACAGAGAACAGCAATTTGGTTCGCGTGGTTTTTGCTTTCTTAAAGTCAGCCAGTTATCTTATTAAAATCTATGTGTGATGTATTCTGCTTCGTACTTGTTGTCTCTGCCACCTGTTCAGTGTCTATTAAAATATAACTTTACTTTATATTTATTGACTTTAATCTATTGGATAACGCTGCCCCCTTTACTTTCTGTAACTGCAGTGCCCTACCTGCACAAAAGCTGCTGGGTTTAAAACTGCAGCCTGTTTTTAGAAGATGTTTGCAAACTTCAGCCATCAATCAGTCCTCTAAGAAAATGAAACAAAAAGACAAATCACTTCTAGATATGAATATTTACCAGGGTTGATTTGAAGATGGGATTGAAGAATTCGTTGTTTGATTGCAATGTTTCTCTATTTCACTGCAGTGGTCATGCTCCGATACATTTAATTTAGTGAAATTTGTTTTCATGTTTCTGCTTTGTTAACAATCTTTGCCACCATAATGAATGTCTGTACTACTCACTCAGCAAAAATAGACACATCAAATCTGATCTCAGTGATGTGTTTTTGTTCTTTTTTTGTTTTTATTTGATAAGTTGCTTTAATTAATCTATTTGTCTTTTTCAAAGAAAGCTTTAAGGCAGATATTGTCTGGCATACTTAATTTTTTAGTGATCATCAGAAATAAAGACTGGGATTATCTACATTAGAATAGTTTGACTGACACTTTTTATGACTGCCAATTCTCAGTACAAAAATACACAGAGAGGAATTAAAAACACAACTAATGCTGTTGGTACCAATTCTCATATGTTACATTTTTTAATGATTCTCAGTATATAATAAAAGCAATATCCTCCCTGTTGATTCAGATGTCCCACAGTGCAAGACTGGAGAGCTAGGTTAACATATTGCTTGTAAGTTTGTGACACAGCCTGGTGTACAATATGGACTGGGGTAAGACAACTAAAATCAGTGCATTTGTACATCTGGTGACTTAACATGGGTGTCGCCGAGGAAAATCAAGGGCAATAAACTGACTCTTGTTCTGCTAAAATTTGTTCTTAATCTAAATGAAAAACAAACCTTAGTGCATCCAATCTTTTGTCCCATTTTCCATTTTTGTTTGTTCTTCTTACAGTAAACTCACCACGGTGCTGAAGGACTATGTCGACAAAGCTGAGAAGAGTACAGAGCAGCTCTTCAAGGCGATGAAGGCGCTTGAATACATTTTCAAGTTCATTGTTCGCTCAAGAGTGCTTTTCAACCAGTAAGTTGATGTTAGTCCATAGTGGATAATCATGTTTAGATGATTGTTACGATTTGAAAGACTGGGTCTCGTTATTAATCTGAAATTGGAAACCATATGATCAGTATATTTATAAGCTTTGTAAACCACTTTTATATAACAGTCAAAATGTGAATTGTTAGACACAAAAGATAATTGCTGTTGTTCTATATCTACTTTATGATTCCAGCCAAGGCCTTTAGTGGTGATTCTATAATTGGTAACAATTTTTAAACCTTTCAACTTCTGCTTTCTTCTGTAAACAGTTTGTGCATGCATTAACTATGGGACATGCTCTTAGAGGTACAGTATATACTCTTAGAAAACTCTGCCAGAATTAAGGTATTTGATAATCTGCTTGGGGATTCTGACCATAATATGATAACCTAAATTGAATCTAAAATTAGGTTTTATTATTTTAGATTATAGAAAAGCAGACTAGGACGGAATGAGACAGAGTTTAACAAAAAGTGAAATGGAAAATGATTGATACTTTGTCCAAAGAAGAAAGATTATATTATTATTATGTATTAAAATGAACAAGTTGTAGAACAAAATAACAAATAATACAGAAAGCTAAGAACAATTCAGACAGAAGAGATTTCTCTATGGAATGCATGATAGCATTCAAGATTAAAAATGAGAAAAAGAGTACACTGAGCTAAAGATGCAACTAAAGAAAGAATTGCTAAGAGTCAGAAAGGAAGGTTGCAGAGGAGGCTTAAAGAATTACTAAACAGTTTTCTATATGGTAATAGTAAAACCTGTAAAGGATGAAGCAAACAGTTGTTGAGATTAATACTAGAGATGGTAAAGGTTTTTAAATGGATATTTTACACAGGTTTTTCAAAGGATTATGCCAATAACATGCACCAGGTAATAGAATGTGAACCATCAGTATTAAGTAGTTTTAGCACTGTAACACTGAGGTATTAAAGTGTCAAGAAATGCATAAAAACAATAACTTGCTGGGGCCTTATGCTTTTTCAAAGTTGTAATTAATAAAATGTGGAATGTTATTCAAAAAACCTTTTACCAGGATATTTCAACTGTTTCTATTAGTGATTTGAGAATTGCAAATGTCTCGTAAAAAGAGACAAAATGAACTAGGCAGCTGCATGTAGTGGGCAAAAAAAGAATGAAACAGCAGTGTACTGTAAAGTCACTTAATAGAGCTTAAGACCACCATGTGTGGCCATATGGCCATACAAAATGGATGTGATATAACACAGAGTCTGCCAGCACCCCGAAATCTGCAGGAGGGGTGTGGCACGTTCTTCCTGGGAAAATAAATCACGTAACGCTGGGCTGATGGAAGTGGAAAACTGTCTCAGGCCTAGTTCCAGAATATCCCATAAATCCCGTGTCCCATAAATGTTTGGTGGGGTTCGTATCTGCTGACGGACACGGATGTCATGCTTGTCAGACTGTTGGGTGAGAACATATACAGTTGGTAGCCCATTGCGTGTGCTGTTTGCACACTGGGCTTGTGAATGGGCATTGCCAGATGGCTTGAGTGGTTTGTGCAATGAAACTTGCCTATGGTATCCTGCTCTTTGGAGCTCTCAGTGGATCGTTTTAGATGAAATTTGCTGCTAGTAGCCCAGGTTTAAATTTGCAGTCAATTGATCTGCAGTTGCTCACCTATTTTGCCTTGCGGTTTAAATTAAAGTGTGTATATCATAATCCTGTAATATGTGGTTCCCCCCACTTTTGCCCTTTGCCATTTGATGATAGCTTTCCCTTGGATTTCAATGCTGACATCACCTTAGTCTTGGTGTCAAATGTGCACCAACAATCATTTCTTTTTCAAAGTCACTAACGTGTCTTCCTGCAGTCATGCTAGCAATAATTGCATGACTCTAAGGATGCTGTGCTGTTATTTGAGGAATTGGCACATTGGTCAAAGCTGTGTGGAAGTCCTTATACTTCCAGTATACTTGTTTTCCCTCATTTACCCATGTGTTTCCGTTGATGTACCAGTCTTTACTTCTGTTACTGGTAAGGTTCTGAAAGCAGCGGTGAGAGCTGAATTACAAGAATGCAGCATAACAATGAATTGATTTATCTAATAATTATTTAAATATATATTTATATGCATTATAAAAGTATACCTTACTTTTTATAATTGTTTTTTGTCATTTTAAAATGTGTATTGTGTATATATTACATTTAAACAGAGGGGAATAAAATATACTGCATTGAAAATTTCAAAATTAAACCTTAATCCCTTTGCATTTTACACAGATTAAAGGTATTCTATGGAGTATTTAATGTAGCACTTAGCAATTACTAATTAGGTTTTTAATGAATTTGTATTTAGTTCAGCTTCCAACTTGTACCGTCAGAGGTTGTCTTTGTGCACATTAATTCTGAGTGTTCTTGAAAAAGATTTTTTTACAACCTTGCAATCTGTTTCAGCCTAACCTCTATATAAAGGTTAGTGGTTTTATTTAATCCCTCTCACACAGCATAAAGATTTTTTTATTCATTACAATAGAAGGTTGCTAAAAGATTCAAGACAGTTCAGAGAAAGAATTGTCTGGGACATTTTATTTTAGATTGGGTATGGAAACTATTTATTATTCACCTAGACTTATTTGCAATAGGTAATACATTTTAATGCAATTAAGTCAGGTTTAGACAGGCCCATTGTAGTTTTCTATAGATTTATGGTCTGGGCATAATTGAATGTCTGAGATTTGATTTGGTCCTTTAAGTTAGATGACAACAATTTCACAAGATGGTACACCTCACCGGAAAGCAACCAGTATAATCTCGAACACTTAATGACAGCCGGACATCCTAAAAATGAATGGGGCACGACAGCACTTGCCCAGTCTTCGTTTAAACGTGCAGTAGGGTTAGTCTGTATCTTGCACAAGGTGTGTTTTCAGAGTGTAAGTAATTAAGTGTCAGTCACTTTATAGGACACCCTCTGTGGGCTTCCTGTCATGTGGCTGACTTGAATTACAATGTGTTAAATAAATATTAGAACCTTAATTTAGGTGACTGAGTCTTCTGAACTCATTTGGTATGGATTTTTTTTGTTTGTTTTTTCACACATTACGCTTAAGATTTTCAAAACCCTATAATTTCCTCTTCAAGGCACAGATACTGTAACTGTTCAAAAATAAGCATTACTGTCTTATCTGTGTACACAAATAATTCATTTCTCATGCACCTTTGACCCTTTATACCTTGGGTTCACTATGCCGAGCAAGCGTTGTACCTAGTCCTATAACTATCTAATGCATGTGGAGGTGACTAACCATACTATCATAAAACATGTCTGCAAAGGCACAACTGTCAGTATAAATGTGTGGAAACTGAGTAGTCCATTTAACAAGTTGTTGTAGTGGTAATCTACAGAAAGAAAAATAGTAAATGAATTTAATAAGTTATTTAACAGACGTTATACTACAATGTGTGTGTTGAAATGATTGACTAGTTTGTTGCTTACTGATCAGAGAACAATTCATGTTGGAGGAAATTATAGTGGTTATATTTATTTTATTTTTGATATTTCATTTGTTGCCAATGAGCTGTTTGCTTACAGTATATGCACATCTAAATAGATCAAAAAAGTCATCCCCAGGGAAGAGAGATATTTCAATATTGCACCAGGGTTGCTTATAGTGCAATTCTGCTAAAGTAGGAAAGTAGAGTAGAAGGATCACAATAAATATAATTCCCGATGTTGTGTAGAGGTGGCAGTAATGGTTGATTTGAAAATGCATCAAGTTAATCACTTTTCACTTTACAGATTACACTTCTTTATTTTCCAAACTTTTCAGTGCAATTCTACATGAATCATGTTTTTTCTTAATGTTTGCATTATTCAGACTCAGCTGTGGATAATAGAATTTTTTTCCTTTGTCTTTACTCATCTATTATTTAGGATAATTTAGGAATGAATTAATATGCACATAAGTCCTTCTCTAAGATTATCCTATAGAAAATCAGTATTATGTTCTGCTTTTCTCAACATTCGGGCTCTATTTTGTACTAAGACAAACTTTCTAAATTATCAGAATTTTGATTCTTGTGATGAATTTCTGAGGACGTAAGACGTGTTTATGAGCAGCGGTATAACCACCTGGGTGATGTACGATGGCGATAACTCTCCAACAGCCCTAATATGCAACAGATTGTGCAGAGAAGTGAGATGTTGTCAATTGAGCGTGACAAGATTGTACAAGCCCAGAGTGGAATCTAGCCAGGGCACTGCAATAACACCTTTGTTCTTTCGATAACTACCAAGGAACCTCAGTTAAACATCTTGTCTGAAAAAGGATGCCTCCTTTGTGGGTGTTCCTGCTCTCCATACTGGGGCATTGTTTTAGAAATTCTTGCCCTGAGGGACAAGGGATACCTAATGGACTACGAACACCATGGCCAGCAGCAAACATGTTTTCCTTAGACCCTAGAGGTCTTTCTTCTGGTACTGACCAACTTCTTATCTTAAGAGATCTGATAAGATGAGACTGCATGGTGGTAACATGGCATAATTATAATTTACATTAAAGAGTGTCTTATTTTTTGTTCCAGTTCATAAGAGGACCCCATTACATGAACTGTCATTTTGGAAACTTTTCAAATTTAATTTGAAGTAGTTTAAGAAACAATATTCCTGAATGGAAAAGAAAAATGCTTTAGTAATAATGAGGAAATGTCCTGCTCTGTGTAAGCTTATTTAAAAAGATATGAATCAATCCTTTTTTTCCTTGAAAAACAAATTTAGTCATCCTATTATTTCCACAATTACACTGTACATACATTAAAAGATGTAAAACAAGCCTTAATTCAAAGAAACGGAAAACAGTGAAATAGCAGTTATTTTAATGCCCACCAGGTTGTTGATGACAATATCCCATGGGTTGATATGTATAGTTAAAATGTTCAAGAGTTCCAGAGGGAATTTTGACAAGATATGTTCATTTAAAAAAATGCAGATGTACCCAACCTATGGTAATGTGTTTGTCTTTAGGTTTACATACTTATACTGAATGCATCTACTGTAGCTGGCAACTGCTTAAAAACCTTACATGGTAATAGATGCACGGAGATTGCTTTTATTTTCATTTAAATGTGGATTGCAGATGGTTACCTGATTATCTGTTTTGATTTGCAGGCTTTATGAGAATAAAGGAGAAACAGACTTCATGGAGTCCTTGAGGAGTCTCTTTACATCCTTCAACGACATGATGAGCAGCAACTCGGAAAACACAGTGATGGTGAAGGTACTGTGTTGCCTGGAAATAAAATATACATAATAGATGCCTGAAACACTTTGAAAACTAGACCCTATTTTTTCTGCCCTGCCTTTATTATTTTTTATGTTTTTTACTTTGTGGGGTGAATCAGTCTCTGACATAGTACTACTGTGCTTGTACACATTGTTCAGTGCTCAGACAGTAAAGGCAGAATTAATATGTGAACAGCACAGTGTTATTGGGACAGTAGATTACTGAAGGAAAACCACCTCTGTCTGGACCCTCATCTCTTATAAGGCTGCCCATGAAGATATGATATAGTATGATGAATAATGTTGTATTCAGCTTGTTACACATAGATCATCTCCCTTGTGGCTTCACGTGGTGTGCTAATTTTTATATAAAAAAATGTTTCTTAAAAAAGATTAACCTTCAAAATACAGCAAATTTATAGGAGGAAGTAACTACCTGTACTTCTGGGTACAATAAAATCAGATAAAAAAAGACAGACACCACTTTCGTAATTTGCACATTTCAGAATTGAAGCAGCCAGGGAGTATAATTGACTCAGTGCATAAATCATTTTTTGTAGGGTGGGAAAAGGTCAGAAATCTGAACATTTGCATGATCTTAACAAAAGAAATATACACCGTAGGCCTGCTTACAGAAAATGTCGTTTTGTTTTTGCACTCCTTCTGTAGGTTTTTCCCCCCTTTTTTTGTTGTACTGTATGTCATGTTTCTTCATTTCTTCCTTTATCCACTCTTCTATTTGCGGCACATTTCGGTTCTAAATCTGTGTTCATGTGTCCATCCACTCTTTGTGACCCTGATCCAGTAGCACCACTGCCTGGGGCATCTCTGTGGCTCTTCTAGCTCTTCGTGAAGGTATTTGCTCACCTGCTATTCTCTTCTCCTCCTTTCTTTTCTCATATGTGTATCTCCTGTTGTGTTGTTTAATTATTTCATTCTCAAAAAGGGGTTAAATTTGGAAAACTGCTCAAAACCAGTTACGAAGCAGTTGCTGTGTAATTGCGTTTGTTGTTAGTTAAACTGTCAGTAAATTAAAAATTGGTCTTGGGGAACCAATTGGATATAAGAATCCTCCTGCCAAGCCATGTGTGCAGAGTATTATGTAACAGCTGCCATTTAATATATGTGAGGCAGTGCTAGTACTGCAGGCTGTTTCCTGGAATGGTACCTTTGCAAAGTATCATTGAGAACATCTGGAGTCCCCCCAGGAAGCTCTGTGACTAAGGTCTATTTGTTCCATACTTAGCTTTCATAATAACAATTACATGAAAACAGTATGATGTTAGAAGAGCAGTGTGCCCATTTGGCAGGTGCCCGCAATTGATGTGGTTATCATACAAAGTGAGCAAGGCACAACAAAATGGTGTTAGAAGCCTTAGACTAGCTGAGTACATTTAGGAACTAAAGACCTAATAAAGTTAGGATGTTTTCATTTATGCACTTTGATCTCAGTAGTTGAAGCTGCTGTATGCATAAATAGCATGCAGGTCCCAGAGTGTGATTAGGCTACAAAACCTCTGAAAACTGGTTTATAAGCAAAGTACATTATCTCCTAATTTTCTTAATTTTACCGGACTGTTCAGATGTGTGTATATATAGGTTTCAGGCGCTCTGCACATGTAGAAAAATAGAAACTTTTGTTTCTTATTAAATGTACCATAAATGTATCTGTATCGAAATGGAATGACCTTAGAGAAAATATTGCACAATAAAATTTCCAGTGCCTCTTTGTGCCATTGCCTTGTGCTTTCATCTTTATAGCGACATAGTAACCCCCCTGTCAGTGGTGCTTGATTTTAGGACAGATTTCATAATCTACCACAGTCCCAGGGGTTTACATTTAGGGCAGAGCATTAGAATATTGACATCTTTGTAATGCTTGATCTATTAACTGGTTTAGCTTTCAATGCAGGAGGTGTTTAAAAACATGAGCTGTCAATTTTCTTCATGAAAAAATGAATGGGTTTCGCTGTGAATCTGTTGGCCTTTAAACCCTGCTTTATACAGTCTTTCTGTCACTGCTTGGTACTGCTGTAAAGGCCTGTCAGTGATGCAGAAAAAAGGTTTCTTTTTTAAAATGAACTCCTATAGATAAAGGGAAGGATTTATAGAAACCCTTTGGTGAACTCTGCAAATAAGCTCATCTCCTGTGTTGCGTAAGTGCATTCAGATTAAATAAAATGTACACAGAAGAGACAGATAAACTCAAAATATGTCTTTAGAGGTTTCAAAATAAAGAGTATCTGTTTAGTGTATATACATGGGCACATCTCTGAATGCTTCTATAACCAAGACTGCCGCTATATCCACCTTTAAAAAAGGTCAGGGAACAGGATCTCGCTAACTGCTCAGAGTTGTGTTACCTGAATAATGTCATGATCTGTTTCAGAGTCAGTGAATCCGGTAATGAGGAATTATGGGAGGCCTCGGGCGACCTCTGAGTGCCCTCCGTGGCCAGCCCAGGTTTTTCAGCAGAGGGTTTCGTGATGGAATGTGACAAATAAATCCATGTTGATTTTTATCTCAAACCAATTGGAATGGGCACCCGGTGTGCTATACCTGAAGTTTCTGAATCGGTGTGAGAAGCTCAAGGGGATACTCTTTCTGAGCACACTGCATTGCAGGCGCGTAAACATAAACCTCTTGGAGCTGCTTTTCACCACACAGCCAAAGGCACAGTCTGACAATCTAGATCAGCAAATGATCGGGTATGCGAAATCTGCACACAATTAATTTCTAAATAATGGTTAACTACAGGCATACTAATGAAGTCATGGCGGTGAACAATGTTTTAACTAATCATTACAATCATGCACCTCTTCCAGTCACTCAATCCAGACAATTTAATCATCTTTCAGTACAGCTGTGTAACAATCATTAATTTCTATGACAGAGACTCTCATATCCCTTTTGTAAGACACTGTACACAGAAATTACTGCACAGTAAGTGGATGGCACAAGTGATACAATTCAGTAAAAGAGAAAGTAACACAAGATACATCTTTGTATTAATCTTTAAAAAAAAAACCTCACAATATTTAACTGCTAATCTGTGTTTGCTAAGGTAATATTCCGAGTTTCTCTAGTACTACTAAATATCAGTTGAAGCATATTGTAATGTTTGTGTGGTTTTAAAAAGCTTTCTAAAACGTGTGTATCGATTGTATGGGAAGGCCATCCTGCCAAAGTAACTGTGTAACACTTAATTCGCTTTTGCTGTTCTCTCAAAATCCCACTTAGCATTAGTATGCTACTGGGGTTCTCAATATGGCTTCAGTGTACTCAAAAGATTTCAAAGGTGGTTGTGCTCATACAACAAAATTTAATTGTTTTTTTTTTTATGAGTACTTAGAGCTTGTGATTATAGGAATAATAAAACTCAGTGTTCATTTTCTATATCAGTTAATATATCTTGTTGTGATCAATAGAACATTGTGCCTTGAATACAGGAGGTTGAAACAGGAGATGGTTCAAGACTTTATGCTTCAAATGACAAAGTGGGACTCTACATACATAAAATATGTACACATTTGACTACGTCTGTGATGCATGGAAGAGATGAATAGTACTACAGAAGTTATACAGATTTGTTGTTTTTATTCAAATAAAATTAACATTATACAATAGGTGACATTATGGATGTGGAAAGTAATATTTGAATTACTGAAATATTTTTAGTTGAAAAGCAAACATTTTAATGGACTGAACAAGCTCTCTGTATGTCTGTTTGGTTTTGACTTTGGTTTTACATATGTAGCCTAAGTGATATTAGGGATCATTTCATGATCTATTATTCTGGACGGCATGGTGGTGCTGTAGGTTAGCTCTTTCTACCTCTCCCTAAACTTTTGTCATGAGCTATAGATACCCCGAGCCTAAGATATGTATACTTTCTTCAATTCCAGACCTGGGGAGCAATCTATATGGAGTTTGTATGTTCTCCCTGTATTTGTGTGGGTTTCCTCAAATAGTCCAAAGACGCACTGAAAGGTAATTAGCTTCTGGGAAAAACTGGCTCTGGTGTGAACGTGTGTGTTTGTGTCTGTGCATGCCCTGCGATGGACTGGTGTCCTGTCCAGGGTGTACCCTGCCTTACACCCGATGTTTCACAGGATAGGCTCTGTTTCCTTGTTAACCCTATAGTGGATGAAGCGGTTAGAAAATACATGGATGGAGATCTGTTATAATTAGGGCCCTGCAAGATTGCCCAATGAATTTAACAACTTAATATAATATTCCTGTCAGCTAACATTTGTTGATCAAGCTATTCTGTAGGAAGTCATTGAGATCTTAGATAATTGTTATTGAGATACACATACAGTACAAGCTTTCTAAAACTCATATCCTGAAACCCATGTTACTATAATGGACTAATTCAGTATGTAACTCAAAAACAAGAATAGCATTAGACAGTCTTTTAGCTAATTTTAGCAAGTATTACTAAGTAAAGCTGTGGGTATGAGAGATACAAGTACTTTAAAGGCTCTACATAGCTTAGTTCACTATTTTGGAACTGGCCATGTTTGAACTCTTAATCAATAAGCAAGAGCAAAAATATCGATATTAAGAACTGAATGTGCTGAATATGGCAGAAACCTTGGAAGAATGTTGTTGTAAGCATTAAATGTAACTTACATTGTCACATATGAGCCTAGTAAAATTTCTGAACTTTTAAAAAAAATGTGTGTGGACATTTGACAGCACTTTGTTTTTGTAAGTTGCTGAAGGAACTGCCAGCCATTCAATATTGTTTCAAATTCAGTTTTCATTATGAGATGATGTCAGTCTGTTGTACTTAACTTTTGTCTTTCAATGCATCAATTCCCATAATTGCTCCTCATTACTAGGGAATATTTTATAATTAGCCGTTAGCTGATTTGTTGATTACTGTACTTAATTATTCTTGAGATCAGCTTCACTGCAGTGGCTTGATGGACAGCTTCATACTAAAATATGGGTTGTTCAGGTCATTCTAATTCACCAGTGAATTTCACAGGTCCTCAATTAAAACATAGAATTTCTTATCTGTTACATATCTGCCAGTGAGTATATGTAATTTCTTTGATTATTATAATAATAAAATAAAAAATAATAAAAATTAAATACTGTATGTATTCTAAGCACAAATTTAAAGTTAATTATGGTGTAAGACATTTCTTAGAAGTTGAATAAGAAGTGAATATAAAGGGGCCTTTTGGACACTTGGTGCAGTTAAGAAATTAAATGATTTGTATTGTATTGTGAAACAGCATACTGTACATTGATCCAATATTTTTGTAAAATTGACACTTACAGTCTTGAAGTGTGTATCTTAAGGCGATTCATCTGGTTCTCTCAGCTGGACTTCCATCAAATATTAACTGTTTGTTTATGAAATTAGGGCTGTTTCTTAACAGGTCTCCCAAGATTTCATAAGGGTAGAGTAACAGCCCAGCCATTGCTGCGGGTGCATTTATTTTTAAAGCAGATACAAATTGGTGTTATTTAATGCATTTTCTCTTTCTTATTACAGGGTGCTGCACTGAAATATGTTCCAACAATTGTCAATGACGTCAAACTGGTTTTTGATCCAAAAGAACTAAGGTAATTTGCTTTGTTACCCCTTTTGAAAAATTGAAATGCTTTTTTATTTTTGTTTTTATACCCCTCTATCTGGAATTATCCCATTAATTTGGTTCATTCCTCCTATGTCCCTCGTGTGAGATGTGTTGAATATGCCTCTGGAATGTGCAACCTTGAGTCATCCATCATTTATCGTACCGTGAACTCCACACTTTCTTAACCACACTTAGCATCAGATGGAGGATAAATTCTACTCTTGCATATAATAGGTTCACAGGCGTCCAGCAGTCCATTGACATTCCCACAGGACAGAAGGTGCCCTTACAGTTCCTAAGTTGTGCTGTTGCTCTCTTTCTTATATCAATGGCAGTATTAGACTTAAAAGTGGTATTTCATAACACACATTTCATAACTGCCTTTCATGAAATTACTGTAGACTGCCTTTTAAATCTGATACTATTTAGAAAAAATATATTGTAACTTAATTTTACTTAGTGTCAGGCAAACTCTTTAGGATTTCATTATCTCACTAAATGAATTCATCTTGCTTCAGGATAAGATTGGTTGGACGAGAATTTTCAGTCCTTTCAACCTAGTAAAAGATACAGTGTAGAAGCATAATTAAGGTGTCAGGATAGGATAGAAAGCAAACAAAAATGACAGACTTTCAAAAAATATCTGTTTACTTATGTTTTTGTGTTCCTATATTGTCTTATTTTTGCCTTGATGAGATGTTTCATGACAAGCTGACGTTGTATTTGAAATAGTGTTATGAAATAATGTTACAGAACGCCATTGGCTCTTGAGACATTTACATTTTATTCTGTCATATTTTAAAATGTAAAGTTCTGTTGATTGTTTTTGCAGATTGCTAATCTTTTGAATTGAATTCTTCTGAATTCAATTCAGTTCTGTTTTATTTGTATGGCGCTTTTAACAATGGACATTGTCACAAAGTAGCTTTACAGATTTCCGGGCCTACACCCGGAGCAAACCTAAGATGACAGTGGCAAGGAAAAACTCCTGAGACTAAAGTAGGAAGAAATATTGAGCGGAACCAAGGTTTGAAAGTGGGAGGCTATCCTCCTCTGGCCAGCACTGGGTTAAATTAGAATTAACATATATGAGAGTCGTCTGACAAGAGGTTCCAATCACTTACTCTAATGCTTACCAATATGTACATCTTATTTGACACTGATTAACTGAAGACTTTCAAGCCAATGACTCAGATTGATATGTTAGAATCATTTACTGATTGACATGAGATGTTCAGTTTATTTAATGATTTTTTCCTACATTTTTATTTATTATTTATTTTATTACCCAAAGAGTGTGTGGTTTCTTCAGACTTCTAGGCAAAGTTAACTCCACAAATATTTATATTACAAATACATTTTCAGTAAAAATAATATGGTACCATGTTTATAAAAAGGATAAATATAAAGCATTCTTTTACCTTATAGTGTTTTATTTTTTGTCACTTTTCAGTTTTTTAACATTGAACTTTTACCCCTCTTCACTTCTTTTTATTACAGGTTTTGTAATAAAATTAACAGCAACTTTTCCTTTTTTGTGTATCTTATGACGTTTTAAATCTTTTAAAATGGTGAATTGATATTGGCTTCCACTGAATTGCTTGGTACAAATAATTACGTATTTCTTTTATTGCTTTGGGCATTTAAATTTACAACCACTAGAGACTTAACGACAACAGCAGTTGGGTGAAGACTCTTAGGTTGCCTTGGAAACATAAGCATTGGTGCTACATAGTAGAGTCCACTGTAGTGGTTAACGTATGCAGTCATGAATATGATTATCATTCAATTAAATTATCTTTCAGAAGAAACAGCAATGTAGAAAAATCAAGGCTGTGTCTATGGAAAGGGCTTAGTTTCTATTAATTTAAAAAGAAAATTGATGAATGGGTTGTCATGTCTCATTGTGGAATAAAAAAAGACCTCCATAGTGCAGTAATTATCTTTAGAAATTGAGTGAATTAATTTCAAATTTTACACTTACACTTATTCTTATTGGTTGTGTTTCTTTTTAGTATTTTTCTTGGCTTCATGCTGCATAAAGATTTTTTTTAATTACTCCATTCATTTTTTTCGAATGTCTAGTTGAATCCATTCTAAATGTTATTCTATTTGCTTCTAAATTGCCCAGATGACATTAGATAAAAAGGTTTAAGTACCTCATTATGGTTCTACAAAATGTTCAAATGTATAATTCAAATTAAAAGCAAAAGATAGTTTATCTTCTAGTTAAACTTTCTAGAAAACCTGTGCAATTTTATTTTGCAATTCCAATGATTTCTAAAGTCCTAAAATTGGCTAAGGTTCTCGAGCTGTGATTAAGTACATAGGTCCTCAGAGTAAACCTTTAAATACAACTTTAAAAATGTCATGGCCTTAAGAGAACTTGTGGTGAAAAAGATTGAAACAGGACCTGACATTTGTTAGTCGAAACGCACACTTACTTGTGTTCTTAAAAATACCTTGACAAAACTGAACTTCTAGGTTTCCTTTAAAAGGACATGGCATTCTGTAAATTGCCTTATGGCACATTGGTGACCTTGATAACTCATTCACATTCACCGTTCAAAATCTGAGCACTAGAATGGGCTACTGCAGACATTTGCATTCTAAATGCGATACAAAAGATGTTTCATAGGCTGTTTTGTATAACAAGGAAGCTACATTATATATGCATTGCCTTGCAAAGAATATTCCCTTCCTGCGGTGTCCCTTACTTAATTTTTTCTTGCAAAACCTGAATACTCAAACTGAAGATTTCTAAGGGTTAGATAAGTTACAGTAAATGTCAGCAAAAACTAAAGAGAAAAAACTGAAGTTTTGATTTCACAAGTACTCACTCCCGTAGGCTTAATATTTGGTGGAATTACAGCTATTACAGTTAAAATAATTCGTTACACTTATATAGCACTTTTCTGAACACTTCCTTCAAAGTTCTTTTCATGTAATGAGAACTCCCTTCCAACACCACCAATATGCAACACCCACCTGGATGATGCAACGGCAGCCATAGTGTGTCAATATGCTCACCACACATCAGCTATCAGTGGGGAGGATAACAGAATGATGTAGCCATTCATAGGCCACCAGGAAATCTGGACAGGATGCTGAGGTAACAGCCCTGCTCTTTTCGAGAAACACCCTAGGATTTTTAATAGGACATTGTTTTTACATCTCATCCAAAGTATGGTGCCTTTCTACCGTATAGTGTCACCATCATTATTCTGGGACATGATCACCCACACAGACTGCAGGGTGAGTGTCCCCTTCTGGTTCCACTTACACCTCTTCCAGCAGCAACCTTATTTTTCCCAGGAGGTCTCCCATCCAGGTACTGGCCAGGCTCAAACCTGCTGATCTTATCAGTTGTGAGTTGCATGGTGATGTACTGTAGCTGTTGGCAGTAGCAATTCTTTTTGGGTGAGCCTATTTATGCACCAGTTAGGTGCAAAACTGTGGGTGAATTTTTGCCTGTTCTTCTTGGCAAAATTGGCAAGCTCTTTCACGTTGCTTGAGGATCACTTACTGTATGGACAGCAGTTTTCAAGCCTTTACACAGATCCTCTAAAGGATTCATGTCAGGGTTTTGACTGGATCACTTAAGGAAATTCACTTTCTAATTCTTAAGAAATTAGCCTTCAGCCACTGCATTTTGGTCTCATTGACCACAACAACTTATACCATGTTTTTGCAGAATGACTCAGTTGCTTTGTTTCAAACCCTGCACAGGACATGAGATAGCCAGGACTGAAGCATATTGTTCCCATCTCAGCTATGAGATGTAGTCTCATAGCATGTAGCTATTTTTCAACATTTACATTAACCTCACCAGCTAGCTCCTTGCCTGGCTGCTCGGTTTGTAAGGACAGCCTGATTTAGGTGGTATCTACATAAGTACTATGATGCACCCAACATTTCTTGATGATTGAATAGACTGTGTTCACAGGGCATTTTGGACACTTTGATATTTTTTGCCTGATCTGTGTTTTTGCTTGGTTATATGATATTTTTAGATATCTCCTGATCTCTGCTTTTCATTGATGTTTTCCATGATTTGCTTTGAAAGTTTCTTAATCTTTGTTATTGAGTTTTGGCTTGAAATTCGCTAGCTGAAAAAAAAACCTCACAGAGGCAGTTGTATTTATTCTAAAATCATGAGAACCACAGACAGAGGCAACTCAACTATTTGTGTGTCTCATTTAGGTCATTTTATGCACCAGTATTAATTTATGAACAACTGAAGGTTAATTCCATGCTGAAAAATAGAAAAAACACAATATTTCAGCTGTGAGGAAAAGAGGAAGGTAGCATTGATGTAATGCTCAGGAGAACCAAGTACAGAGTAGGTGAGCATAGCTACAGAGAGGGTGATAGTGTCCTGATGAAGGAAAATCTAGGAGAGAGGTGTGAAATCTGTAAATGAATGGAAAGTATTTAAAAACGATAAGTAAAATCATGGCCAGGAGAGGTGAGATGGGGAATTCAGAAATTAATTTAGGTTTCCCACTGAAATTAGTTTGAATACTCATGCAATGAAGACATCACATACAGTAGAAGAAAACAGGATAGTGTGCACAGATTTATGAACTGGGAGTATAGATCTAATCCAGTCCATTAATAATCTAGTATTAGTCACCCTAAATCACCTAATTTTTAAGATTAGGAGCATTTGTAAATTGTTGATCTATGAAGTAATTTGTTCAGTTAAGGGAACTAAAGCCTTCGATGACTGCAGGGCATTCTCATTATTGTTCCAAATATTATTTACAATGGCACAGTGTTACAGTGGTTAGCATTACTGCCTCACAGCCCTTAGACCGTGGGTTCATTTCCACACCTGAGGTTCTATGTGCATGGAGTTTGTACGGTCTCCCCATGTTTGCGTGGGTTCCCACAGGTGCTTTGGTTTCCTCCAATAGTCCAGAAACATACTGGTAGGTTAAATAGCTCCTGGGAATATTAGGGGTGGGTGTATGTGTGTCTCTGTGTCTGCCCTGTGATGGACTCTCATCCTGTCCAAGGTGTGCCTTGCCTTGTGCCCATTGATTGCCAGAATAGTCTCAGGCTCCCCACTGAATTGGAGAAGAATTGGATGAATGGATCTTATTTAAAATATTTAATTAAATCTTGTTTAACTGGTCTTCAAAAATTGATAATTTAGTTTTTAATTTTAATAACCTTAATAACCTGCTTCGTTTCATATTTATGTGGGAAACATGCAGACAACCTATCATGAAAAAAACAATTTTCACTTCTCTGTAAAATAATGTTTGTCTTATGTGGAAATATCTTCTTTTCACCTAAATTGAATTAAAAATAAAAAGGTAGTCTGTCCAGTTTTTTTCTCTTTCCTAAAGATGTACTGTTATTGCTAAGTATTATTTTTTTTACTTGTTGTAGTTTTTTGCAGGCTTGTTGAGTCTAAGTTTGTGTGAATGCTTTAAATTTTGGAAAGGCTTAATAAAATAAAATAAAAATCTCAAATCTAAAAAATGTTTTTTTGTTACTCTTTACTCTCTATATAAAACATTCTTTCACAGCCATCAAGTAACTGGTGTGCTGACTTTCCGACATTCACGTATCTCCACCACTCTGGATACCAGCTCTCATGAAATTATTTTTTCTTTTGTCTTTTAATCTTTAAAACCTGATAAAAACATGAAGATGATTTCAGATCCAGTAATGTATGGGTGCGGCATCCAGAATGATGGTGAGACAGATTAGAAATCTGTCTGTTGTAATACCACATTCTAAATATACTAGTTATTTCTGTATCCTGTGTCGGGTGGTATCAGTCTAAGTGTAATGTGTTGCCTGAGAGGCTTACTGATCTCTAATCCATGCTATTCTTTATTTTTATTTACTGCTTTGATGGAAAATTGAAGGAAAACCTTTCCTGTGAATTTAACCTTTCAAGGTCAGGGGGCTGTTATGTGTGATTGAGTGGAAATTCTTCTGACTTCATGCATTGCAAAGCTTCTGTGGCTGGTAATCTGTTTCCTGCATTGCCTTAGTGTGTGGTTTGCTGTTAATGTGGCAAAAGATCAAACTGTACAGCTCATGATTTATTCATTTACTTTTGTTTGCACTGCAAATTTAACGTACACTAACACTGGACTCCGCAAATAAGGGATAGAGCTCTACTATCTTGCCACTGATTTTTGCTATAATGAAGTGAAAAATCTTTACTAAGAAATTAATAATTTCAATTTGTTCCAGGGAAAGCTCTTAGCTCTTCTGTTTACTGACACTAAACCTTCTGAAAATTGTGCTTTCCTTTTTTCCCATGCATTAATATGCAATAGGAATGAAATTCAATTTAGGTACTTTTTATTCCTTGAATTGCATTATTTTGCAATTCCTTGTGTGTTTATGGAAATTTTTGCTTAAACGTTTCACAGTCTTTGCACTTGATAGTATTCCCTCTGCCTTAGCCTTCACAATCTATTTTTAATGTGATTTGTTTTGTGATTTGAACCGTCTTCAGCTCTTGCAAAGAAAAGTATGAGCACTTTCATAGCAAATTGAGGCTATGCCTGCATCTGCTTTCTTTCTTTTTCTTTTCGTATTTCATTGTCCACCTCTGTTTAGTACTCTGATAAAAGAGTTCCAAAGGCTGATGCATATTGCAGAGAATACCATGTCATGCAGACTTGTGTATAAGATATCAGGTATGGCTTGAATGACATTCCACTGAGGTTGTGTTGACAATGCCCTAGAGATGCAATATGTTCTTACCTGGTAAAAATCCTGCCAGGATAATATAAAGCTTATTGTGGGTAATGCTCTTCTTAATCTTCCATAGGCGCGATAGGACAGAGCAAAAAAAGATTGCTAGGCTGCAGTGGTGGAGGAGATTTCTTTTTCCCCTGAGGGATTTTCACTGTCCCTGAGTTAGCCGTTATGGTCTGTACCTTCGGTCCCTGTCTGCTGGGTGAGGCAGGGCCGTCGAGATGTTGCAGGATCCCGCCAGACGCTTCCACTTGGTCCACTGCCACCAGCACATCTGCCATGAGAGAGATTTGTTTCATATGGGTTTCTCCTGTCCCCCTGGAGGGCACACAAAAACCTTTTGATCTGTGATTAAAGTGCCGACTTCTGGCACATAGTACTGTTTATCCAATGTCCTTGTCTGGACTGCAGCTATTCACATATTGGGCATCCAAATTCACCAGCACCTTGCACTTTCTGCCATTTTGTTTCCGTTTGCCACAGAAACCCGAGGCTTATCGCTTTCATGTGCTTTTGTGAAGCTGTTGTTTATATGACTGGGATGTTTATGTGACATAAAACAAAATGCTTTGGTGCCGTTTATCCAAAGTGGATGAGAACTGATGTTGAGCGGACCCGTGTCAATGTCTGCTTCTAATGTAGTAATGTTCCACCATTGAAGTAAAGAAGAAAACTTGAGTGCTGCACTGAAGTGAATCAATTATGCACCGTTTCATCTTCAGCAAGTATGGCTGGGAGTGCCACATTATCCTAATCTGAGGTGTATTCATCATAACATGATAAAGACTATATGTTTACTCCTTCAGATTTTAAATAAACTCTACAATTGGCTGACTGTGATGGCAAGCAGACATACTTAAGGGAATGTATGGTCTGTGCTGGTGGTTCAAATGCGTTGGCAATGTAGTGCATGTGTGAAAACAGCGGTACAGTAGTTTATAGCTGTATGAGTGACATTGAATATCTGGTGTACCTCCCTGTTGAATCCTTGGAAGCATTTGGTGTGATAAAGCCATCTTGTATGTTGCTATACTTATAGTTGTTTTCTTTATTCAAATTGATAATGTTTTTTTTGTTCTTTGTGCAGCAAACTCTTCACAGAGTTCATCCTGAAAGTTCCTCCAGGACGCTTGGTGAAACAGAAGCTCTACTGTATGATTGACATTGTTCACAGTGACCTCTTCACACAGCATGGTAAGTTCAAAAGTGTGTCCAGAGCTCTGTGTATGCATTGTAGTACAAGTTATTATCCTAATTCTTATCATCCTGTATAAAGACTTAAAAAACTTGAGAACCAATGAATTCAGAATGAACAGAAAAGGATGATTATACTTCAAAAACAGTGTTGTTGACTTGGAACAAACTCATCCCTAAAGCAATTTAGGGTATAGGACCATGTTGGCTAGATGGTTTAATGGAGAAATTGGGTCGCAAATCAGAAGGAAGAGTGTGCTAATGGAGCTCGAGATCCAAAGACAGAAGAAGAGTGATTGAGCTACAAGCATGTGAAAAATAGGGTATTAAAATTTCCATAAGAGAAAAGAAAGTAACAACACGAGCAAAAAATAATGTAAAGTATTTTTTTCAATACTGCAACAGTTAAAGAACAGTACAAAAGGAAGAAAAGGGCATATGTAGTTTACAAGATAATAAAAGATTAATAATAGAAGATAAAAGAAATGTTAAACATGCTAAATTAATAATTCATGATGGTTTTTACAACAGAAGATGTCAGTAACAGGCCCCAGGTTTTAGAAGGAGCTCCAGTGGTGTTGGGAAATTTTAACTTAACTGACTGATGTTCTACTGAGGCTAGGTCAGATATTTTCCCAGTCTTGCTTAAGGAAATCTATTCATAGACCCGTAGCCAGGACATTTTATCTTTTGCTTAGGATGGAAGCTGTACCCACATATTGGATAATTGCAAATGTAAGACAAAACTAAACCAGGATATTATATAGGCAAAACACTCTTCAGTTACTCGTGAAGTGATAGAACTGATAGTCTTGAAATGCCAGTACTAGATTGATCTAGTTCTAGATTAATGTAGAATGATCTAGAATTCATATAAACAGTGGCATTTTAAGAGACCTCCCCCTCCAAGTTCATTTTATGAAGGGTGGATTTTGCTTGCTTAACTATAATTCGAACTAACAACCAAGGCAGTTGACGAGACTAAAAAAGGTGAGCCTTATGTATCTGAAAAGCTTTTCATGAAGGGTTAATTATCAGAATAAAAACTGTAGCCATCTTAGGTAATATAATGCAAGCATATGGACCTCGAATTGGTTAATGAACAGGAATCAGTGTGCCATGAAGGTGAAGCTACCTACATATGAAGGGTTCTTATCAAGAGCATGTGAAGTACTAAAGGAAACTGAATAATGATTGGCTATGTAAGCCTGGAATTTGAGTCAAAACATTTTTTTTTTACTTTTGAATTCAGAATTCTGGCATCAGGTGTTGGTTTTGTAACTTGTAGAACCTCAGTATGTTTTGATCAAGAGCTAGTGTATATAAGTAATGCCTTTGGTAAAATTCTGCATTCCCTCTCATGTACAGTATATAGAGTTTTTCATCTTAAAGGATCCCAAAGTGTGTTATTTAAAAACTGAATAACATGTAACTTATATTTGGCTTCTCTCTACATTGTTTCCTAACTTTAATCTTAATTGAGAGGGCAATTATACAACAGGGAAAATATTTATTATTATACTGTAGAAAGCTTAGAGATAATTACAAGTGATTACTTTTACCCTATTTACACTACAGGTATGGTTCGACAGTCTCAATGCTTCTCCTGGTTACAATTCTGTACAAACTGTTTGATATGTTTGTTAAATTGGTTTTGAAAAACAGCATCTTGGCTTTAATTTATTTTAATTGCAGCACATGCTACATATTATATATTATAGGAATTAATATTAATTAGCTTTTGCTGTCTCTGCCCCGCTGATGCACTCCAATAGATGAGAAGCAGCTGGCCGTGGCTGTTTTGACTTACAAAAATGAAACACAATTATAAGTATGTTTGCATGGTTCTGCCTTCAAGCATTGTGAAATGGTGAGAGCTAATTCGTTTTCATTTCCATCATTCATAGGAACTGCATGTTTTTGAAAATCTCCATAACTCTAAAAGGTTTTAATTAAAAATATACACTTTAAAAATGTACGTGCAACATTCAGAATCCAACAAAATGGGGCATCATTGGCACATGTTATATACTTTTCCATACTGTATACAGACAATATATTTATATTTCATCATTATACTGTATATAGAGTGCCGAAATGTCATATGTCCATATTCAAATCAGCTGTACACTGCCAACAGTCTTGTTAAATTTCTTGTTAAACTTGTTGATTTTCAGGGCAGGTATTTTGTAGCAAGCAAGTATTTTTTTAAAAGTGGGAAATGTATGCACCGTGGAGTGTACCAAGAAAAACAGGGAAAGTTATTGTAATCCAAAGTTAAATATAGTGTCTAGACTGAGCAGTGGTAACAAAAGTTACACAAAAGTACAGTCACCATCAGCACAATGGATGATCGATGTCAGCAAAATCAAAAGAATAGCATTCTTTCTCAACCACTGCCAGCGCTGGAACATTTGGCATCAGGACTTCTAGTTTAGCTAGGGAATCTCTTTGTGTGCTACAGTATATTGGTGATTGTGCATATCATCAGACACTGGAGCTCGGCTGCAGTGTCTTTTCAACATCTTTCAGTCAACTGCTAAAACTAAATTGAAAATTTTATGCTGGTTTCACTTAATTGTAATAAAAAGCTGGACTAAGTACAATATACTGCCACTGTGCTGTATTTTGCAGTATCAATTATTGCATTAATGAAAAGGCTTTTTGTGAGATTACCAATAAACTGCATGTTTCCATAATTGGTATTCTACTGTATATCTGTGAAGACATTATAACTGTGCTACAGTAATTTGCAAACAGTTTATATACAGTAGCTTTTATACTGTGTCGTGTAATGTTCATGTGCATAATATTTTCTTGAAATTTACAGCAAATGTAGGACTGCAGTTTTTCTTCCTTTCAGTCTTACTAACTTTTTACTTGGGTTTTCAGTCAAAACTGATATTGTAAGGCTTCACTTATGCATGCTTTTTATATTTTTTTTAACTGTGACAGTTTTGTTAAAACACCTCTCACCTTCACAGAGTGGTTTGAGTAGTTGCAGTCCTGGTAATAGAAACTTAATAAAAGTGACTCCTCTGTAGATAGTGACCCAAATATTTGTTTGAAAAACCTACTGTATTACACACAGCATCCATTCAGCCCAGTAAGCTAACAGAGTAAGCATTACTATCTACACTGTGAGTCTTTCGTAGTACAGTTTTGTTCTAATTCATGCAGATATCATCACCTTAATATTTATGCAAAAAGACAGCAAGAAAATTTCAGTGACAACATTTTGACTCATCAGGGCTGCTTGACGAATTCATTTACTGTTTTCAATAAACAAATGGAGTAATCTGCCTAGAGCTTTCTCCGCACTGTGTTGAAACTTTCACAGCAAAATCATAACAGTTGGATGTCACTTTAATTTTATTTCACTGTGTGCCTGTTTCTGCACATTTAAAAGCTAAATTGTGATAGTGAAATTCTGAACTGCACTGATTCAGTAGATAAACTGTGTACTTGGCATCTGAAGCTTAAATATATTAATTAATTCACAATTACTGAACTAACAGTGGGATTAAGAACTGCAAGAAAAAAATTAGAGTATTAAATATTATGGCCTGTTTTTTAAGTTTTTCAAGTAGCTGTCCTCAAATAATGGTATGTAACTGCAGTAGTTTTAGAATGCAGTTCATATAACAAAATGAGGCACACACTGGATAATATCTTGCTTATACAGCTCTAAAAATGTTATACAGTGAAGTCTCGATATTCGCAAGGGTTCAATGCAGAGGCCTGTCACGAATAGTCAAAATAATATTGTATAATGTTCTTCAGGATATTGTATATAGTACAAAGACATATAACCCTCCCTAATATGATCAAGTACTAATGCATTGGCTTTAAGTTAATTTAAATAACATTGTTCAACTAAAAGAAACAATAGTAATCATACATTTATTGTTATCAGTTAAAATCGACAAATTCATTCTTCCTCTCCATCCTGCCTAGATTTTCTCCCTCTGCCTCTGTGGTTTCACAGCACACTTTAATAAACAGAAAATAAAAGCATCAGTGAGCCTGTTAAGTTGTCTCAAGCCTGTCTGACACAGAACCAGAAACACTTGTTACAATACAGAAACAAGCCAATGTTAGATGCACATGCTGGGTACTCTGAGCAGGCAGCAAGGAGAGGATCACTCGCTAGCTGGAATTATTACACAATCCTGTTGCATGCTAATTAGAAAGTTGTGGTTAACAACCTTCAGCTTGGTTTCCTCCTGCTCTTCTCTTCTCTTCTATCATCCAAGACCCCATTGGCCAGACTGAATTGTGCATAATCAAATTCACAGATGTTGAGACCCTATTTTAGGTGTGATTATAATAGCATTGCACAGAGCAAATTCATTTGTCATTATATTTAATTGAATTTCAGAAAACACAAGGGTCACATTTATTCACATCTCTGAAATTAGTGCTTTGTAAATCCTTGTCTGGCAGGCATTACGCTGACAAGACACCTCCTGTAGTGTGCTGTGTGGTTCTGACCCTTGTGAGTTTTGACAGTCACACCCTTTGGGTTATGAATGAATCCAAGTGTGCTGTGCATTTTGCCTTGTATGTTTTCCATATATTTCATCATATTCATATGTATATCTTTGAGTTGTCTAAGCTGTTCTTTTGCTTAGATGGGTGTCTCAGATGTTTATTTTACAGCTGCATCCTCCCATTATAACAGTAGTTAACAGCCACTGGGCAGATCTTCTTTATAACTCAATTTAGTGAAACATATTTATTGCTGTCTGAGTTAAAGATGATTTTAAAATTAGCGTTGTTAATTTAAAACATTGTTCATGTGATTATCATACTGTACATTACATAACTTATATTCTGACTCTTTACAAAATCAACCTGCAAGCGTAAAAAACTACTTCAGGCTAAATAGTGCAACCGCAGGCCTGAACTGCTGGTAAAATGCATTTGGGTTCTGAGATTAGTGATCAGTATCACCTGTAAACTCAGCTTGACGGATTGATTCAGCAGCTGTGAGGTTA